TGTAAATTTGGGAGACTTGTCATTTTCAAACAAAAGTATTATTTACCCCCCAAAATGAGAAAAATTCACAGAAAATCATGTCATTTCAGCAACATGTTCAAAAAGACCATATGATTTATGCAACGGGCATGATAGAACTCTAATGTAGACGGTGATGTGTCATCAAAATTAAAAGCTGGTACCTAATGACATTTTCCAATCATCAAATTGTGAGATCCTTAGAAGTTCAAGGAGTTAGTAACGATTTTAAATTATTCATGGCTAAGCAGAAAAGATTTCAAATTGATCTCAATTGTAGTTGTGGAACCTTCTATTTGAAAAAATAAGTTTGCATACCTAGCCGAAACTATTTTATGAGAAAAGTTTATGTCATTCTAATCTAATCAAAATAGGAATTATGCGGAGTATGGTTGCTAACAAGCATACACATGTTTTCTTAGTAGTCAGGCAAAATAAACCATTAAACCAAATATGACAATATTATATTATATTCATGTTGATCGATGCATTAACTTGTCTTGGGCATGGGCAAGATTATGACAAGCGGCTGGAAAGGGCGGGGTGGAGGTGGGGGGGGGGGGGGGAGGGGAGAGGCAACTGCCAATGTCCACATTTCCTGAAACATCCCAGAGTACAGAAGAAGAACTTATCAATTGCACTCAGCGCTCCAAATCCATTGAACTTTCTGCACTACTAAATGTTTAATCACTTTTGTCCAGTTAATATACCGATATACTGGCCAAAATCAGAGGAATATCTACAATAAAGCGAAAATGTTGTTTTTGTGGAAATCAAATCAATTACTTTGGATTGCTATATCTTTTTATTGAAATGATATATATAAACCTCTCCCTCGCACAGGATATTGTAGTTGTACATAAGCAAATTCCTGGAAAGGTATTAAACAAATTAATTTTTTCAATTTTGATCTATGGAAAATAATGTTTTCTGATAAAATTCAATTTTTCGAAAAAAATCACAAAAATCATGCTTTTTACTTAAATTTGCGATGTTAATTAATCCCAAATTCTTTGGAATTGGTATCAAAATGTAGATAATTTACCTCTTTCATATGACACCAAACTCATGGTGGTTCAAGGTTTCCTTAAAATATTAATTACAAAATACTATTTTGTCGTCAAAAGGGCCACTTTTTGGGGGGGTCTATTCGCTATTCGTAAGGACCGCTATTCATAAGGTCCGCTATTCATAAGGACTGCTATTCATAACGTGCAAATTCCCGTACTTCCTGGTCCGTTATTCATAATGGCAAAAGAGGGTCATTATTCATAAAGAAATAAGGTTCGTTAATCATAAGGACCGCTATCCATAACGTGAGATGAGGGTCGCTATTCATAATTCATATTAAGGGTCATTAATCATAAGGACCGCTATTCATAATATGAAATCAGGGTCGCTATTCATAATACGACGAGAGGGTCGCTATTCATAATACGAAATAAGGTTCATTACTTATAAGGGTCGCTATTCATAATAGGAGAAGAGGGTCGCTATTCATAATAGGAGAAGAGGGTCGCTATTCATAATACGAAGTGAGGTTCGCTATTCATAATAGGAGAAGAGGGTCGCTATTCATAAAAAGAAATGAGGGTCGCTATTCATAAAAAGAAATGAAGTTCGCTATTCATAATAGGAGAAGAGGGTCGCTATTCATAATAGGAGAAGAGGGTCGCTATTCATAATAGGAGTAAGGGGTCGCTATTCATAATACGAAATGAGGTTCGCTATTCATAATAGGAGTAAGGGGTCGCTATTCATAATACGAAATGAGGTTCGCTATTCATAATAGGATAAGAGGGTCGCTATTCATAATAGGAGAAGAGGGTCGCTATTCATAATACGAAATGAGGTTCGCTATTCATAATAGGAGAAGAGGGTCGCTATTCATGATACGAAATGAGGTTCGCTATTCATAATAGAAGTATAGGGTCGCTATTCATAATACGTGCCCCCCCCCCCCCCCGTGGCTACGTTCCTGGTCCTGTAGGGGGGGGGGGCGACATATAGCCCTGAATAGTTGTCTCTTTTTAAAGTAGTTATATTTTATCTGTTATCTTTGATAATTATATAGAGCCAACCCCCGCTCATGTGGTGACGAAAAAAAAAAGTAAAACATAACACACATGTAATCCTATCGTAAATTGTCCTCCTTGTTGGAAATCTTGCCCCACCAACCTGCCCCCGACTGATCTTATCCAGGCTACGCCACTGAGATATTAAGTACGCCAAGCAGGCCCATTATCCATTTTAGCTTGCTATTTAAGACACTAATAATTGTTTATACGACGATAATGTTTTTGTAGAAAATAGATCAATAACATCAAATTGTACACTTCCAAAGCCATCATATCTCCTTTCTTTGAAATTACTTTTCAAATTTGATCTATTTATAAGTACATAATAGTGTTTACAAAATGTACAATAAACAGTTACTATTTTTATATGCAAAACAAGTTTTCTTTCTCCTTCTTTACACAGATAAAGCACGCCAGTCAGTATTGGAGAACCTTATAATTGCGACAAATTACAACATTTACATGAAAGAAACAACATTTTGAACACGTATCTTTGGCATTTTATCTATCTCCACCAGTGGCGTACGCAGGATTTTTTCAAGGAGGGTGTTTGAAAATTTGAAAATCGCGCCGACCAATATTTCACACAGTGGGGGAGGGGGGTGGGGGATGAGAACACTATATTATTTTTTTTTTAGTCAACACACATCAACGCCTACCGCCACCCCCCCCCCCCCTTGCGCAAAAAAAAATTAACACAAATTTGAGGGGGGTTAACCCCTAAAACACCCCCCCCCCCACCCCCTGTGACGCGTCTGATCTCCACATATGGTCTCAGTGTTATACATGTTTGGCTAATACCTACTACCTCGAGTAGTAAATGTATGACTACTCTATAAATAATATGATTAAGTATGCTATGTCTTTTTATTTACACATGACTATAGAAAAACTAGAAAAATAACCATAAACGCTTACAGCAGGATTTTGAAAAAGTACCCTTTTTCAGTGACGTTTTTTTTTTATAGCCACGTGCCCCTTTTCCTTCGACAGTTTTTCGTTTTTTCCTTTGTAATAATTGTCAATTTTTCCATTCTCATAAGTGCCTTTATTAATCTCTAGTAAGTGCCCCGTTTCAGGTACGAGAAGTGCCCCTAGTTTCACTTTCGATTCGTGCCCCTTCCCCTCTGATAATTGCCCTTGTCAAATCTGAGAGGTTTCATTTTACTTTGACAAGTGCCCCTTTCCCGTTATAAGAAGTACCCCTTCCACTATAACTACCCCTTTTTAACTCAGATAAGCGCATCTTTGATTTTTAACATGTGCCCCTTTTCGCCTATGAAAAGTGTCCCTTTTCATTCTTATAAATGCTCTTTTTCATTTATGGTAAATGACCTTTTCAGGTACTTTTTTCACTTCAGATAAGTGCCCCCTTCACCTCCGATAAATTTCATCTCTGATGAGGGCCCCTTTTCACCTCTAATAACTGCTCCTTTTATTTTGACACGTGCCCCTTTTCCTTTCTAATAACTTTCTTTTTCCTTCTTATAAGTGCCCCTTCCTTCCCCTTCTCATAATTACCCCTTTTTATCTCTGATAAGTGCCCCGTTTATTTTGACATGTGACTATTTTTCTTTTTAATAAAAGATACTTCCCCCTTCTCATAAAAGCGTCCTAACACTTCCGATAAATGCCCTTATGAAAATCTGATTGGTGCCCCTTTTCTTCCAGAAATGCAAATTTCCCTTTATTATACGTGCTCCTTTTTTATTCACATAAGTGCCCGTTATCAAATCTGGTCAGTGCCCCTTTTCAGGTGCGATAAGTGCCCCTTTTCACTTCTGGTCATTTCCTTTTAACAATGATATACGTGCCTCTTTTCCTTTCTAATAAGGTACCTATCCCGTTTTCACCTCTTCAAAATCTGATGGGTGCCCCATTTCCGTCAACAAATGCCCATTTCCCATTCTCATAAGTCATAAGTGCCTTTTTTTCATCCCCGTGGTGAGTGCCTCTTTCCAGGTTTATGAAGTGTCTCATTTTCACTTCTTATAATACCGGTAACCCTTTGTTCTTCGACACGTGCTCCTTTTCTTTTCTAATAAGTGACTAATAATTTATCCCTTCCGATCCCCTTTTCCTCTCATCATTAAACGTGCCCCTACTTAAAGCGACTAAGAGCAAATTCCCCAATTTTGCTCGCATTTATAGATGATATAATTATGTTACTTATGAAAGGTCATTTCAGTCTTCCGTTATGAGAATGTGCATATAACTCCATCAAGATTTTTAATTTTTTTATCCTCTTTATATATAAGATGTAATTTTTTGTTCATCCTTGATAATGTAATCACAATGTAGAGTATATAGGCCTGCCAATGTCTAAAAAATTGTATATTTTCGTTTTGAGATTTCCCACTGTACTGTTCCCTTTTTTCAAGAAAGTGCCCCTTTTTGATAATAATAACAACAATAATAATGGTAGACCTAATAATAATACAAACAATTTTCTTGATATCAATAACAATAATTATAGCCCCGTCCGACTTTGCCCTAACTTTATGCACGTACTGAACCAGGGGCGGATCCAGCCGGCGGCAGAGGAGGGGGCCCAATTCGTGAGAAAATATTTAGCGGCGAAACAGCCGGCCGATAATTCGGGGGGGGGGGGGGGTAGTGAGCAAATTATTTTTGGTGGGCCCTCAAAAATATAAAAAATCGCACCCCCCTCCCCCCTCCCCCCCCCCCCCTCTTGAGCGTCAGGGAAGGGGGCCCATCTCCAAAAAAAAAGAGTAAAATTAACGTGTTTTTACATATTTTTTCCCCCAGGGGAGGGGACCCCTCCCCTGGATCCGCCACTGCACTGAATAGAACTAACTCTGAAATACATGAATAGCTGCGCTGCGCGTTCATTCGTAATGTACGTACGTATACGATCCGTATGTGTTATTTAAATTGGCAACAAAGCCGATGCCTGTGTAGCAATCATCTAATATCAGTTAAGCGTTCAAAGGCGTACGTTCCAGCGGCCTCTACATTCTCACAATCTCACTAAATCGTATGTATTCATACCGCATCCATGTTTATTTTGTCATTTATCAAAAATTGTTTATATATGTGACTTTATATCTTGAAATTTTGATCAATGAAATTATGTTATTTTTGTATTCTGAGTATTTAAAAAAACGTTTGGTTATAGTAGTCCCAGATATGGGATTTTGTGTAAACTATCCAAGTTTATAGTTATAGGCCTACTCGATTTTTTCTTTGAAGTTTAATGAAAATCGGACATTGATACAACTTTCCTTTGTAAATTTTTTATATTATTATGTTAAAAGATAATTTCCTAGACTCCTACACATGTATTAACGTCTGATGATGTTTTTAAATAGCAAATCTGATTCTGACTCTGAGCGAATGGTTTTTTAATTTGTTTAAATTTAATTTTATGAACATTTTTTAATATTTTTTAAATGAGTTCAAGAGACGTTAACTTACAGGCTTGTTGTTTTATGAAATATGATATGTATGTCACTGAGGCTCAACTTACTTGGCATGCACACCCGTCTGTGGTGCTTGCAGTTGCAACGGACGTGCAGTAACGTAACTCCAGGAAGCTCCGACACCGGCTTCAGGTAGTCAATCCTGGAGTAAGTAAAAAACAGCTGTTTGGGCGATATTATCTTAATAAATCTGCAAAGAGAGTACTAACAATTTTTGGCGTATTAGGTTGCTCGACTCTTCTGGGCATATCGTAATCCACTTTGAAATTATAATTTAAAGATAGGCAAATTCATGCCAAAAAATATATTCAAAAAATTGACTTGAAAACACATCAGACAATTAGTCTGAACCGAGTCAGGAGCAGATTTGAAGAAATTATATTTTTAAATGTTGTAAAACCAAGATATAAGAAGAAAACTGACCAAGTATCTGTACTAAAAATCGTACATTTAAAATTGGTCGTACACATTCGACAGCTGAAAATGACGCGCACAGTTGCGATACGTGCGTTCTCGAATCCAAAATCATACCTCACACACACACACACTCTCGCAATACCGCGAATGGTCCGTGGTGGGGAGCTAGCCGGCTGAGAGTTTGCAGCGATACCAACGCAGCTTCGGAGCTCCGCAGCGCGCCATTGTAGCGGGACTCGGAAAGGTTCGAGGTGGGAAGGCAGCGGCCTAGCTTTTTGCCCAAACAACGCTAGATCGGCTGCTGGCAAAATGAAAATAACTACGATCGAGAACATCATCGGTTTCTTAACTTTTCAGTGAGATAATTCTGAATTCTAATTGAGACTATATAATAAATTAAATCGACAAAGAAACCTCGGTAGAACTCTTATAAATATACAAAAGCTTGTTTATTTCTTCATTTGACATTTTGTTTTCGACCATTTTTTCGTGCGCGAGTCAATGCAAACTATGTATTACCAAACTTTCAACACGCAAGGAACGGGGAACACTCGCGGACCTCGTATCAAATCCGTTGCAAAAACAAAATTCAAGGGTGATTTTGAAGCAGTGAAGAATATTGGCACTGCAATGCGCAGAAATATACTTGAAAGAAACTTAAAAAATCATACCTGAATTTTCAGAAAATCGTATTTGTATTAGTGTACCTAGATGTGACTTGTTTATAACTCATATTTTATGAAGATTTGTCGGGAAAAAATGTCAATTTTTTCCGTTTGGTGGTCATTTCTAGGCTAATATTTTAAAAGTTACTTCAGTAATGCAACCAAAAAATTACTTTTTTTTTTACGAGGGCTCTTTTCAGATTTTCCCTTAAAAAAATAGCCCCCCTTAATTATTTTGCGGTGGCTATTTTGGAGCTCAGGGGGGCTTTTTTTTTTAAAGGTTGTATTTTTTTTAAACGCGGTTTTACCTAATTAAATTCCAAGCAAAGGCAAATATAGATACAATTGTAGCGTACATATGTCATGTAGAGTATTGCAGACATTCAGATACCCATGATTTATTCACTTTGTGTTAAACGTGTGGCTGTATGATTTACATATACATGTAACTAAAACTTGTCAAAAGGATTGTTTTGTTTAACTGTTCGTTTTTCATATCCTAAGAAAATATTATCACTGACACGCGGGCTAGGAATTAATTTTGTTATGGGGGCTACTTTTCCCCATTGCCTAAAAAAACCCAAGGGGCTACTTCCTTAAAGCCATATTGTAAGCTGTAACAATAAGTTGTGTTTTTCCTTAGCCATCATACTACTAGCAACCAAATTGGTAGGTAATATGTTATTTAGTCTTTTTTTCTGTCCCAAATTTAATTGTTATCATGGACAATGCAATCCCATTAAAAAAATGTAGACCAACTCCCTTTAAAATTGTGTTATTTAGACCATTTATAACCATTAAATGTGAGTAAATATTTTTACTGTTGTCCCACATACCGATGTAGGGTCTATTTGTTATGCCGAAACATGCAAAATCATGGCCTTATTTTTTTTTATAGACTCTAATTCTAAAGGCCAAGAAAAAGCTAGTTTCATTTCGTAGACAGAAATTGATGTCATGATCACTCATGACAATTGGCCTGGCATCGATCGTATATAAATAATTTAATTTAATGAAACAGTTGTAAGAAAGATTGTGAGGAGTAGGAACATCCTTTATATATTTATTTACGGTTTTTTTATAACAAAATTCAATTTCTGTGTACGAAACTTGCTTTATACCGATTTTACAGGAAAAAATCCGGCATTGATTTTGCACGTTTCGTTATTACAAATATATCAGTATGTGGGACAACAGTAAAAATATACTCGCATTTAATGGTTTTAACTTATAAATAACACAATTTTAGACGGAATAACATTTTTTTTAATGGGATTGCATTGTCCATGATAAAAATTAGGGCCAGAAAAAAGACTAAATAAACATATTACGTACCAATTCGGTCGCTAGCAGTTGAGCTCTCGTCACTCGCAAATACTTATTTGCTTCATACAAGGAGCGTGCGGGCGCGCGCTGGAGCTGAGCTAGTACGTTTCTGTGTATTGTGAATGTGTGCGAACTGCGTATGCATTCATGCATGCTGTGCACGAAACTACATCGCGGCCGGTGGCCTGTCCGGCCGCCGGGAGCTTAGGCGCAGGCAGGCGGATACCGCTGTAGATCTAGCTACAGTAGGTACGACCGCCGATCCGCTGCAACTCACAAAACTTTTAAAATGTTGATGGAAGTTTCTAGTTTTGGAGTTGGTAGTTGGAACGGAGATTTCACTCAGACACATCAATAAATTGGTTTATTAATTCATAGGGAATATCAATTTATGGCGGGGGCGATTTTTCAAGATATATTGATTTTTTTTCGCCCTCGTCTTGATTTTTACTGTGGCGATTTCAGAGGTTTAGGGGGCGAATCGCCCGTCGCCACCGTGTATTTTTTTCGTTGCAGTAATGGTCCCGATGTTTCTCTTATCATACTCGCATGTTATTTCTACATAGATTAAACATAGGATGGTTAAGGGTAAGACCGGATAACATTATAAAAAAGATATATCCTTCCAACCTCCCATATCCAAGTTTTGGGCTGATTATTGCCGACCCACCGCAGCAAGGCCATTCAGATTTTCGTACACGGCCGAAGCGCCCTCTAGTGCCCCATGAATGTGCCTATTAAAGAATTCTTTGGTGGGAAAAAGGGGGCGATTCTGAGTCCTACACCAACGATTCTTCCATGTTGCAGCGTCGATTCGAAATGGCGAAGAGAAAGTATGCATGCGCCGATGCGTGGTAGTGGCGCAGCAAATATGAATATTCATGCTATAGAGCGCAGATCGCTTGAAATCGCTGAATATGCACGACTCAAACAGAGCAGTGAATATAAACAAGCGCACGTGGAGAGTTATTTTTCCCAATTATTGAAATGTTTTATCCTTTGTCATCATGTGCAGATAAGAAACTGATTCAAGATGGCTGCTCCTAACCACACAATTTACATCAACAACCTCAATGAGAAGATCAAAAAGGATGGTGAGTTTTCTATGTATGCAGCTGTTGGGAGGGGACTATATAATTGGGTGATGAGGGGAGGGGGGGAGGGGAAAAGAGGAGATAAGAAAAGAGATGGAAGATGCAAGAGAGAGATGGGGAGGTAGGGAGAGTGAGGGAAGGATAGAGAGAGAATCAGCAGAAACGAGCATGAGGAAAGAAAGGATTTAGAGATGGGGAGGAAAAGAGAATAAGGGAAGGAAGGAGAGATAGAAGAGGACATACAAACGTAAGATTAATGTATGTAGGGGGAGAGGGGGAGCGGAGATGTGGGAGGAAAGGAAGAGCGAGAAAGGAGGACATAATGAAAATATAGCAGATGAAGGGAGAGAGAGAGGGGATAAACTGAGAGGAGGAGATAAGAGAAGAGAGTGGGTTGGAAGGAGAGAGAGAAATAGAGATGACAAAGGTGGGAGATAAAGAAGGAAGAGAGGAGAGTGATAAACATGAAATAATCATAATAATCTTTGTTGGGGTGGAAAGGATTTGGGGAAGAAGAGTATGAGTTGGAAGGAGAGAGAAAGAAAAGATGAAAAGAAAGATGGGAATGAAGAAGAAAGGAGATAAAGAGAGGAGAGAGATAATCATAAAACAGTTCTAACAGTACCTACACTGTTCTTTCCCTTACAGAACTCAAGAAGTCCTTGTATGCCATCTTCTCTCAGTTCGGTCAGATCCTGGACATCGTAGCTCTCAAGACTCTCAAGATGAGAGGTCAGGCTTTTGTTATCTTCAGAGACATCACCTCAGCTACTAGCGCTCTACGATCAATGCAGGGCTTCCCCTTCTATGACAAACCCATGGTGAGAGAGCATTCTCGTTGATGTGATTGTTTGTTTTCAGGTTGTCAGTCCGTACGTCCCGTTCCCGTGATCGCGATATCTCAAGACCCAATCAATGGATTCCCGCCAAACTTTGGTCATGTATATTTCTTGCAGAGCCAATGAATTGATTAGATTTTATGGTCATGAGGTCAAAGATCAAAGGGTCAAACATGTATATGAAACATAGCTTGTAATCACGATATTCTGAGAACCTATTAATGGATTGCAATCAAACTTGAGTTTTAAAATTGCTTCTGTTTTTGTTTGTAAAATTGCTCCATGACGGAGGCATCATTTTCTACTACGCGCAGTCGGAGGTCCATCTAGTTTTGCTTAAAATTCCTTTTTTTGGCCATCATGGTTCCTTTTTTGGGTCGCACAAGGTTGGCAGCTCTGCTCTCTTTTGAGTCGATGCATTTCACTTTAGAAGTGGTGACAGGTCTTTTTACAAACGCAAAAGTTGTTTTTGTAGATCAAATATTATTTGTTCACCTTATCGATTGGAAGGGTTTGATACGCAGATACGCCAAACGTTAATGAAGCTCAAATTGGGTAGAGTTCATGTTAGTGTTCATTTATCCTGATAATGGAAAATGTGTACATATTGGTCAGAGTTATATGCTACATATTTAGCCACATTTTATGATGATGCAAACTTAACCATCTTTCGGCTGATTGTTTCTGATGTGCTATTTTGTCTCTGAAAATGTGGACTGAAGTTCAATAATTAATTTCGTCATATACTCTGGACATTGTACAAAAGCATACATTTACTTAAAGGCCCACTGCACTACTTGTAGCTACTTGCGCCCTCTATATAACAACCAATGCCTAATCGGTGACCATTGGTCCCCCATGATCCTCTTTTTCTTATGTTAACTGAGAGCTGAGTTGATGAGATGACCACCTGTCCAGTGACCTTGCAAAGCGCTCTAATTCTTCCTGTAAACTATGGCAGATAAGCTTTAATACATATTCTAGAAAATTCCAAAAGTCTTGTGAGAGATTAATTCTTGCGCTGTTATTCTTGTTTTCATTTAGATACTCTTCTGCTACATAATGATATATTAAACGCTGAGAGAAAAAGGAATATCAGGTGTGACAGACATAGTAGTGACTTCAATTGTAGATGTAGAATTAAAAATAATCTGAAGTTTGAAATCAACATTAACCTTCAACAATGTTTATACCGAGTCACTTTAATATTTGTATTTTGAATTGGTTTGGTTAACAGAGGATAGGTTACTGCAAAACCAAGTCAGATGCCATCGCCAAGATGCAAGGAACCTACGTCCCAAGAGAGAAGAGAGTAGAGAAGAAGAAGGTCGAAGGTCAGTGCTCTAGTCATTGTATAGCCATTTGGTCTTCTATCCACGTCCACATGGTCTAATAGTCAATTGGTCTAATCTCCAAAAAGTCTACTTCCCATTGTTATTTAATCCCAGAGACCATTTGTTTTTGCTTTCAAGAGCGTGCAAAGAAGCTCATAGTTCCTTTTTGGCAAATTTCAACTCTAGCAGAAAACAATGGAAATTGTTATTACTATCCACATAGGACCAATGGAATCGACTTGTTTCGAAAGATAGCACTCTTAACTACCCTTTGTGTTTTAACTCTAAAATTATGTTTTCAAACCCATTTCAACAAATATTTTCCTAGCTTTTGCTTTTATTACCATTACATTCATAAAGCACATTGTGTACCTATCCAAAGTTGAAATTCTCTTTATAAAACATATTTGATATAATTCTTGTGTTTTCTACTCTTGTCATTACAGAGCCGGTAAAGGGAAGGAAGAACAGGCAAAACAGACACGCTGACGTGGTCATCCCCCCTCCCTCACAGATCCCCATGCCTGGAGCTCCCCCAGCAGCCAACCAGCCCCCACCCCTCCTGGGTGAGATGCCCATGCAGATGGGACAACCTCCCATTCAAGTACCAACGGCGCCAGCACCAGGTAAGTACCACAGATATTTATAACACTAGATACATGTACTTCTTCTTCTTCTTCTTCTTCTTCTTCTTCTTCTTCCAAGGAAAGTGCTGCTTCAAGGCCTTGAAGATTGCGCACTGTATGTGTAATTTGGTTTTTACAGACGTGTATCGCTCAGATATGATTATTTACGTGTCGGGACCAACCTTTAACGTCACCATCCGAAAGACGTGACTCAGTTTGGAATGTCGTCCGCCTGAATCAGTTTGTAGGCAAAGACAGAGAGCTGACCAAGTGAACATACAGCTAGACCAACCCACATCTCAGTCTATCTTTTTATCACTGATATACATAGTGCTAGATAGTTCCCACAGCCTGTACGATGGATACACACACTTTATTGACTGCCCTTAATACCAAACAAAATATAAGTTGGTTACTACATGAGTAAACTCCAAGTATGAAGTAATCCCCCCCCCCCCCCCCCCTCCATTCAGGGAATGAAGGGACCGTAGTCATGTTCCCAAAATCTCTGGTAAATGGGTAATTTTCACGCAACAAAGTCTGGCTCGTAATACACAACAAAAATTTGCCATATTGACTTTACACATCCGACTTTAGGGGGGTGTTTTCAAAATGAGGGAACATGCATACCCCTACCCTAAATAACACTGAGTGGGGGGGGGGGGGGAGGGGGTATTATTGCAGATCCACGCATATTAGATTGCTGATCACATACAGGCAGTTTGTGTATACCATGGTTATTGTACCATCAGAAAAGCAACTTACACATATTCTCTGCAAGTGTTGTCCATATTCATTATTAGTATTTGTAAGAGTAAATTGATGATCATTATTTCTCATCTTTTTTTTTCCTTTCAGTTGTTCCTGATGAGCCTAATAACATCCTCTTCCTCACAAACCTACCTGAAGAAACCAATGAACTAATGCTGGAGGTCTTATTCAAACAGTAAGTATTTCCTTCATTTGTTTACATTTATTCGTGTAGAGAAAAGGGTGGCGTTTTGGTTAAGAGGGAAAATGAGTTTAGTGCTCACCTGTTTTTTTGTAGTGTCATGTAGAAGGTAATGATAATGATATTAATAACGATTGTTTTTTAATAAAGCACTTTACCAGTTACACAATTATCATTATTTTATATATCTTATTATTATAGATATCTTATTATTACATATATCTTATTATATATCTTATTATTTATCCACATGCATATTTTCCAATTCACAAGGGGGTAATTTCTCCTCTAGAAGGATATAATAATAATAATAATAATAATAATAATAATAATAATAATAGTGATAATTGTCTCTTATAAAGCAATTTTACAGTTACACAATCGTCATTATTATTTATATCTTATTATTTATTCACATCATGCATACTTTCAAAATCACAAAAGGGAATATCTTCTCCCCTCCCCCCAACCACAAACACCAAGCCTTTTTAGAGTTGAGAATATGCAAGGGAAAGAAAAATACAATTGTTGCAAATTTGACAAGGCAAATCTAAATCCAATCCTAATGATTCAACCTCTTGTCACTTTCCATCACAGATTCAACGGATACAAGGAGGTCCGTCTTGTCCCCGGACGACATGACATCGCGTTCGTGGAGTTCGCCAACGAACAACAATCGGGAACGGCCAAAGATGCGTTACAAGGATTCAAAATCACGCCGACAAACACTCTTAAAATCGCTTATGCCAAAAAGTAGTTTCATTCCCTTTCTGTGTATGATTACAACTGAACATGTACTGTTGCCTATCATTTTGGGACTTCCCTTAGTTGTGGCAAAATGGTATTTTTCTAAAAAAAATTACTGGGTTGAAAAATATTATTTAAACCTGAACAAACATACCTGATGAACGGCTCTAACTACAGTTAAAGATAGTGATCTCGGCATGACTAGAGGATGTTTATTCAGACATTTTCATTTGCCTCAAAGTCTCAATTATACTACTTTGAAAAAAGAAAGTTTCTGTCTTGGTAGAATTATTCTGGGACCCGTTTCACAAAGCCTTTTTTCAATGACAAATGACAAAAGTTCATTGACAAATCTGCTGATAACCAATCAGAAGCAAGGATTTCACTCCTGTCCAGTCATTTGTCACTGATGACAAGTCTTGTGAAATGGGGCCCTGATGTTAATGACAACCTGATCCCACATTCATCACGTTGCTACTGATTGAGTGTCGGTGCGTCCACACTGGAAGTGTTTTCTGGTTCATCTCAGTTGCTCATCCATAGAAGTTGCCAGCGAATCTTCACAGTGGGAACCGTGTTATATTAAAAAGGTCAAGTTACATGTTTTCATTCTTTAACATGTGTTAGAAATTTTTAGTTCCTGATGATTAGTGACCTAAAGGTTTAGGGCTTGTGATAATGAAATAAATCTCATCTTCAATAGGTGAAATAGGCCTACCATCTAAATTGTTTTCTTTGTAGATGAATTTTGGGATGATTTTTTTCCAGATGGTACCTGATTGTTAATTTTTAAAAAATTAGGTTATATTTTTAATTTTCTTCTCCTTTTGCTAATTTAAACACATCAAAACAAAATTATATAATGATGTGTCTTCAAGTGATGTATGTATTTGGTCATGTATATTGAATACCACTTTACGATAAGAAATAATTATATTTTCCCCTGAAAAATGTGATATATTCGTTAAATTTCTGAGCTCTTTCAAAATTGGGAATCATGTGATGGGTTCAAGTGAGTCACATGATGTTATGCAAGTCACATGATATGTGTGTTCAAGTCACATGACCTGTGACCTTGATCAAGCTGACCTGCTTTTCCTTGCGTGTCCCATGTTGCATTGCACACTCCTGCACATGGCACGTATCTCTCAACAGCTCCTTCAAAGCTGCTTTCTGATTGGTCATCGACTGGTCACATCCACCAATCACAGCTCAGCTAGTGTAGGTATAACATGGTTTGTATAGAATCACACCACACGACTATCCATGCATGGGGCTAGGTTTAAAGTTGTTAAAATCAACAAAGAGCTGGAAAAGATTTTCTCTTGATAACGTAGCATAATTTTATCTGGGGCTACTTGCCTGAAAATGTTGCTTTTAAAGCCCCACTGCACTACTTATAGCTACTTGCGCCTTCTCTATAGCTACAATGCCTTATCGGTGATCATTGGTCCCCCATGATCTTCGTTTTCTTATGTTAATTAAGAGCTGATTTGATAAGATAACCACCTGTCAGTGAACTTGCAGGGTGGTCTTATCCCTCCTGTAAACTAGTACAGATGGGTTTTAAATGCAACTAAGAGATAAAGATTAAAGCAACTTGATATTCTACCAAATAGGAATGCATTTTTGTGTATACAAGTGGGCACTGTTCAGCATGTTTTGGGGGTACATAGATTTCAAACAAGAAAACAAAACTCATTTTCTCTCCCCCCCCCCCCTAATTTTTTAATGGTAAAGTCTGGTTCAAGCAAATTCAGAATTATTATATGTAATTTTAGGGGGGGGGGGGGCAGTGGGTGACTGATCGTGAAAAGGATTTACAGGATTTAAATGGTGCCATAATTTTTGTTACATGGTAAAGCGGGTAAGGGGATGACACAGAGATATCAATTGTGGTACGTTGTAATGTGTAAGTTCTGTCGTGATGCAGATCTTGGGACTTTTTTTTCTTTCTTTTTCTCTTTTTTTTTCCTCTTTTATAGTCCTGATTATTCTCAATGTACATATTCTCTTTAGCACTGTGAAAGCAATGTAAAGAAACGAAAGCAATGTAAAGAAACGTAAACAATCTTTACATTGCAATTGTAAATAAACTTTTTTTTTAATTATTCAACTGTATATTTCTTTCTCTATTTTGTATGTCTTTAATTTTTATAAGTCAGTTATGCTCACTAAGAATGTGGGGAGAGAAAGAGTTAAGGACAAGAGGGTAGACAGGAAGAGAGACAGATGAAAGGATAGAGGGAGCAAATGTAAAGGAGAAATGGAGAGAGTTTCTGAAGGAGAAGGGAGAGAGGAAGACGAATTGAAGAAGAGGAAGGAAGGAATAGAGTGAGCAAATGTGAAGGAGAAAGGTAGAAATGGAAAGAGACAGGAGGAAATGTGAAGGGGAGAGAAAGAGTGAATGAACAAGAGGGGAGAAAGGAAGAGTAGAAAAATTTAAGAAGAGAAAGTAGGAAGGAGAAAGAGAGAGAGAGAGGGGGGGGGGGGGGGGAGGAAGACTAATGTGAAGGAAAGAGACAGAGTGAATGATCGAGAAGGGAGATATATATGGAGTATGTGAGATCAAGAGTAAAGCTGGGAGATAGTGAGAGTCTGAGAGAGTATATTTTTGATGAAAGAGGAGGTAGAAGACCGTGTAAAGGAAGGGTGAGAAAGGAGAATGTAGGACGTATTGAAGGGCAGACAGAAAGAAAGAGAAAAATAAGGCAAACGGACGAGGAGGGGAGCTCCCCGGTGGACTCAGGGACCGCATGACCGTTACCAAAATCGCGGAAAAAGGGGTAAATTTCAAGCCATGTCCGTGGACAAAATATTCCTTGGAATATAGAAAATAGGGGTGCACAGGTGTCCTCGAAATTGATAAATAGGGGTCAGGAAAAGGAAAAAGAGAAAACTGGGAAGAAAAATTCTCGGAGCCGATCGAGTCTTGTCCTTGAAATATGGTAAAATAGGGGTAAATTTGCGAAAGTGTCCTCACAATCCTATAAATAGGGGTTAACGTTCGATTTTGTCCTTGTTTTGACGGGAAAAGGGGGTTAAATTTCACAAAATGTCCTGGAAATTGACCGCAAAAGGGGGTTATTTACATTTGTGGTAACGGTCTTACGTGTCACCCTCTGTGGGGGAGTGACCCCACCGGGGGATATCGAGCTCTAGAAAGAGAGAGATGGATAAAGGGAAGGTCAGAGAGAGATACACGAAGGTAAGAATTCGAGAGTAATTCTATTGGCTGTATATAATATGTATTTTAGAAACCCAGTCGCGATTGATGCCTAATTTCAAAGGGGCTGCCTAAAACTCAATATTTTGGAATATAGTCTCAACTCAAGCGCTAGCTCGACTCGGGGATATATATGCGACGGTTAAAAAAAAAAGTCTGGAATAAAGACTAACTTTCCAGCTGACACGCGACTTCGATCGTTGCTCAATAAAATAGCTGTAAAAGAGGTAAGGTAAGTTTATGTTCTCATATGACTGGGTGTTTTATTATGAATTTGACTCATGTGTAATGAAGCGTAACGTTTGTGTAATTTATGGAGTCGGTAGAATGACAATCAAAGCTTGAACTTCGTGTGTGATTGAAACAAGTGGAACCAGTCCCACCAATTCTATTTCACGTTAGTACGGTAAGCTCGAAACAAACCAGAATTAAATGTCTGCAAACGTGACTCGTGGGTAGAGAAAAACAAATGTAAGGGGATCACTCATCATACTATACATCACAGCCATAGGCTGGTACTCTAAATTCATGTATCTAAAGTAGAGGCAACTGAACTGTTACTGCTGTGCTCATAAAAAGAAAATAGTTGAAAGTGAAACTTTGCCTTTATTTAAAGTTTATTTAGTAAAGGAGCCCGTTTTCGGCCACTTAAGACAAAATCCTTTTTTTAGGACCCTTTACTTCCTATTTATTATCATTTTTTGTTCAAATCATGAAGCAAATATTATTATTATTTAAACAAAAAAAGAATCCCAGAAAAAAATCACGAATTGCCATGACAATATTCATTTCAATTTTCACTGTTTTGGAGCCCGTTATCGGCCGAGCGTTTCAGTTTACGGCCGCATGTACAAAGTCAATAGGAAGCGCTCGCGCGCGCCGTGCGTTTCCGCGCTGATGTACAGCACAAGCGGGCGGAGCAGGTATCCCACGCCGGAGCTCCCTGGTGCTCGCCTGGCCGAAGACGGGCACAGCGGTGATCGGAAGTTGGAATCTGAATTAGACAGAGATATCGTGTGTGCGTCGCGGTGTGCGGCTGCATTGATTTAATACATGCGATGAGATACTTTTGAGCTTGCGACTAGCACAAAATCGGGCTTTAAATCTGAAAAATACTTGAAATAAAGCTCATTTTATGGTACCCTTATTTCTTACAGACACGCGTAAGATACTCGATTTTTCAGATTTGGGTAGCGGGACCGGCGATTACATCGCTAAAATGTGATATTTTAGGATATATTTTCCATTGCAAATGTGGTTCTTCAGTGACACTGGCATGGTATGGTATGTGTGGGATATGTGTTATGCTATTATGCGATGTATTTTAGAGTGATTTTACCTTGCATCCAACCAATCGGCCGAAAACGGGAGCTGGCCGATTACGGGCTCCTTTACTCCCTATGGCTTTTTCAAATGATTATTTGCTGGAAAAAAAATTGATTGATCATTGAGATTTCAGGTCATTCTTCAAGTTTCAACTCCCCCTATTTTTTCAGATTAAACTTGCCTAGATCTAGTCAAACTTAAAATACACTGTCACCTACTCTTCTGCAAATTTGGGGTTTCCAAGATCAAAGTTAATTTAAATAATTATTGCTCACTTTTCTTTCCTTCTCAACTCTCGAGCATTGCTGTGTATACACTGTTCTCCCATATTTAACCTTGGATTAATTCAAATGATTTATTCTCTCTCTCTCTCTCTCTCTCTCTCTCTCTCTCTCTTTAGGTTTATGGTGGCTGTGTACATAATTAGATAAAGAAGAATGGCGTCTATAACGTGTAGCAATCGACATGTTGCCATCGCAAGTGGGTCCAAAGTTAAAGTGATTTCATACAGGTAAGATTGTAAAACAACTGGTTTACTTTTAAGTAATAGACCATATACAGAAATTGATAGATTCATGTCCTTGCTACTATCCTTCTACTTCTAGTACTGCATCTATGGGGAAGGGGTGGGGGGTCTTTCTTCTTTTTTTAAACATTTTTTTCTAAGTATTGGCACAAGTTAAGCATAAACAATAATCCTTGAAACAACAGACTTTGTAACCCAGTGCTTATGGAAAAAAATGTGTTGTATTGTGCTGAAATTGGAATAAGATAATTTAGCAGTCAGCATGTGATAAGATTTAATCCTCACCCCCCCCCCCCAAAAAAAAAAATATATATATATATATGTATAAATAATAATAATAAATTAAAGTGAATAACAAGCTAAATGATTGAATAAATATCTAAAATAAATATAAACTTGAAAATTTCTTGCATTAACATTGTTTGTATCTTTTCCTTTTTTTTTTTATTGTTGAATAGCGATCCAAGTCAGGTGGTGGTGTTTGATTTGAAGGGTAAACCAAAGGAGATGGCCGAGAAGACGAGTGAAAAGCAGAAAGAAGAGAAGAAAGCTGAAGAGGAAACAGCCGCAGGAATGTAAGAAAGAACTTGGAAAGAAGTTCTTAGCTTTAAATATTCAAATTTGTAGCTGGTATGATATTGATTAATGTCATGTATTATTAGATGAAGGAATTCGCTCCAAATAAAAAGAAGAAAAAAAAAAGATCCTTTGTGACCGTAAATCTGTGTTAGGAAATGCTGTACCTTATAAGAAGGAAAGAAAGGAAGAAGGAAAAGAACTTTATTAATGTGATTTACACTTGGTTTATAAATTACTTTGATAAAAAAATGTCTATTGAAGTTTGATATAAACTTCTGTCCTCTCCATTTACTGCTTTTCTTTCTCTTCCTCTCTCTATTTCTCTCTCTTTCTCTTTCTCTCTCTCTCTCTCTCTCTCTCTCTCTTCTCTCTTTTCTCTCTTTTCTCTCTTTTCTCTCTTTTCTCTCTTTTCTCTCTCTCTTCTTTCTATTTCTCTTTTCTCTCTCTCTTCTTTCTATTTCTCTTTCTCATTCTCTTGTACTTCCTTTCTTTCTTTTCACAATCTTTATGTGAAACCAATTGATTTCATGATAGCTTAACCAATCAAACATCAGATGTAACAATATGATGGCAAATTGGTGATTGAGAGATATCATAAATTCATTACATTTGATATGATCGCTATATTCTCTTCGCTAGCGACCCTCTGCTTTTCTCTCTCATCCTCTTTCTCTCTTTCTCTGTCTATCTATCTCACTCTCTTCTTTCTATTTCTCTTTGTCTTGTACTTCTTCTCTATCTCACCTACGTCTTTCACTCTTTATGTGGAACCATTTACTGTGATGATAGCCTAACAAATATCAAAGTCACCCATACAATACCAAATTGGCAATGCAGAAATATTGATGCAACACCTGTTATCTGGTTGCTATAATTTCTTTGCTAGCGCCGGTGTTCCAACGGGGCGTGTTCTGGCTACAGCCTTCTCAAGGAGTGGTGCACACTTTGCAGCATGCACAGATGACAAGGAGCTGACAATCTGGAGCACGGATCCCAGCTGGAAAAAGCTTTGGACAAGGTGAGAATAGATAGCAAGAGTCAGGAAGAAAGAGAAGGAGAAGGAAGAGAAAAGTAAAGGAGGGGAAGGGAATCTGAGAGGAAGAGGGGGAGGGAGGGAATGGAGAGAAGAGGTAGAAGAAAAATAAGGAAGGAGGAGGCCGAAGAGATAAGAGAAGGAGAAGGAAGAGAAAAAAGAGGAGGGGATGGAAAGCTGAGAGGAAGAATGCGTGGGAAGGGAGCAGAGAGAAGAGGTAGAGGTAGAAGAAAAATAAAGAGGGAGGAGGCAGCATAGATGAAAAGAGAAGAGAAGTGTTCTGGCTGCAGTCTTCTATAGGAGTGGTGCACACTTTGCAGCGTGCACAGATTACAAGGAGCTGACGATCTGGAGCACGGATCCCAGCTGGAATAAGCTTTGGACAAAGTAGGAGATGAGATGAGAAAAAAAGAGGAGGGGAAGGGAAGCTGAGAGGAAGAGTGGGGAGGGAGGGAATAGAGAGGAGAGATGGGGAGAGAGATGGTACTGTAGAAGGGAGAGGGAGAGGGAGGAGGCGGCAGAGAATGAGATGGGGGTGATGAAGATTTTGATTTGCTTTGTATTGTTTTGTATTTTTACAATTGTTTCTTTGCTGATAAAGGCCTTTGTTAAAGCACAAAACATTAAGTAACCCTCAGTAAAACCATCTTTATGCCTCCAAATTCATACAAATTTATAAAATACAGAATTTCAGGAGACAGATCTGTTGACAATAAGGACTTTCAGATTTGCACGTCGACATAGTGGACTGCTACGTCGTCTTAAAATGACGTCACACGTAGCAGTCCACTATGTCGACGTGGAAATCTAAAAGTCCCTAATAGTTCCTATTTTGCTTGCATTGAACACAAAGCTCATGCATGAATCAATTTATTTGGATAAAAATATGTTGATTGGATTGCATCTTCTGTATCTGATATACCTACAGGACAGTGGTTAAGCGCTGCATGGCTGTGACCTTCGATAGCAGTGAGACTGCCCTCTATGTTGCCGACAAGGCAGGTGACGTCTATCGATTTGAGATTGGAGATGAGAATAAGGAGCACACCCTGATTCTCGGACATGTATCCATGTTATTAGATGTGGTAAGAAATAACAAACTATTGGTATATATTCACTAGTGACTGACTCCTTGGGACATTAATGCAGCACTAAAACATATATGCATGACTTTCTTTGCCGTCCAATATTGCCTTTCTTTATAAATTTAAGTGTAAACTTAATCATTCAAACAAATGTATGCTCCAGGAAGCTGTTAGGAAGCTTTGTCAATGTCTTTTCATATATAGTGTGAGTCAAATATCGAATATCAAACATCAACGAACATTCGTGCGCCTGTGTGTGTGACTTTACTTTGCATATGCAATGCATTTCATTTGAAACATTCAATTCATTCTCTCACTCCGTTAATCTCAACATAATACATACTGTAGGCATCACTTTGGCGCAAGTCGATTTTTGCACTCTTGCAAACAATGCCTTCTGTTCATCCAAGCGTGAACACTTACCACACAAAAATGATACCAATTGATTTGGGATAAAACACTCTTTCATAAGATGTATAATAATTTACTGTTCATAGATGATTTTTTAAATAATAAGCAATTTTCTAGGTGTAAACTTTTTTTTGACTCACACGGTAGAGCAGTGATTTATAACATCTGAGCAAGAGCGAAGCAATTTGATTGGTCTCCTTGGGACTCTCTGCACAGGACTGCAATTTGCTTTTGGCGTTGTTTTCATACAGTACCATGTATCACTCTTTTTCATTCTCCTACCATGCTTGTGATTTTATGTTCAGTTCCATACAATGTTCTCCATGTTATATCTGTTTAATATTCAGGTAGTCTCACCGGATGATAACTTGATCATGACGGCTGAGAGAGATGAGAAGATTCGAGTCAGTCATCTTCCTAATGCATAGAATATATATGTTAGTCCCATTCATTGCTCTTGGTGTTATCTTTTCTTTCAGTCCCATACCTTACCCTAGGTGCAATGTTTTTCTTCAGTCCCATATATAGCTCTTTGTGTTATATCTGTTATTCAGGTAGTCTCACCGGATGATAACCTCATCATGACGGCTGAGAGAGATGAGAAGATCAGAGTTAGCCATCTTCCTAATGCATACAATATACACACCTTCTGTATGGGGCACACAGAGTGAGTAAATCACAATCCATCCTGGGGGGTGTTTTACAAAGATCCTAAGTTGAACTTATCTTTAAGTTGGACTATAAAAATATGAAGAGCCATTTGTAGCTTTAAAATAAAATATATTCAAAAGCTAAATTTAAGTATTTTTACCTTTTTATAAATTCCACATTAAGAACATGAAATTTCCTTGATAATAGAAAATATGAATGATTTGAATCAACATGCTTTTATGACTGATTTGTCTCATGTAATGCACTGTGCCTCCCACCAACTGCCCCATAAAGAAAAGTCATCATCATCAATTTCCCTTACCCAAGGCTCTCAGAGAGATGTGGGACTATGCTATCTCGCTGTATGTTCACACATTAATGGCATTTCCATCAGATCCGGTGTCAGCAAATTATGACATGTTTACTGCCAACAGTATGTCTTTAACTAATCAGATTTGTCTCTATTTCCTCTCCTTACCATACAGGTTTATCAGCAGATTAGCCATGTTGGGATCAGATCATCTTATCTCCTGTGCAGGGGTGAGTGAACACTCTTAAGGATTAATATCCCTATGGCTGCAAAGCGTAGAACTATGAATGAGTAACAAACATCACTTTCCCCACTATGGATCCCATTCTCAACCCTTTATTGAAGAAACAAAAATCCAAATTATGATACTGTGGATGGCAAATTTACCCCTCCCCCAGAAAAAAAACGACCTTTAGACTTGTGGACTGGTCACATCCCAGGGGATGGCTTTGGAGGACCGAAGCAATTTTCAGGTTAAAAGTAGTATGTATTGACATATATAATTAATGTACTTGCTAGTACCCTTGTCATAGAGAATTAGCCCTTGGTATTTTTGTCTGATATTCCCACTAAGGGTGTTTACCAGGTGAAACCACAAGTTTTTAAAATAAAACTTTGCCAAAGCTGAACCACTCGAAATAATTTTGTGAACATTTCATTCACGTTAAAAGTTTCTAATCCACAATATGGAGTAGCGAAATTCTTGACGTCATATCTATTCTCTGTCTTTCTCCATCTCAAACAGGACTCAACTATGATAATGTGGGACTACAGGGAAGGAAAGGAACTCTGTAGGACCTCATTTGAATGGGCCAGACCGTCAACGGAAGAACGTGGACAGAAAAACGAGGCGACAGTGACGTGCATATCGTGCTCGAAGGAACACAGTCTTGTTGCTGTGACTGTATTAGAGTGAGTGACTTCTTATGATGCATGCGATGTGTTGTTAAGGTTAATTTCCATGAGGTCAAATCCTGATTCGTGTTTACACAGTTTTTCTATTCTATATCTGGTCAAAATTCATTGCCTTCACCCATTTTATGTGGTGATGGTGGTGGTGGTTATTTTACCTGACTGCTAAGAAAGCATAAATGCTTGCTAGTAAGCAACATTTACTCCTGCAATTTTGCTCTATGCTTCCTGAGATAAGTGTTAAGCAATGACTTTAATGTTAGATTAAATGTTACAGTTAGAGTTACGGGTAGGTTTAGGTAAAGTGATATGTCTAAGGTTGAAGTTCAAAAATTATGTTAATGTAGGCAATTGGCCACGCAGAAGCAAGAAGAACCCTTCTATTGTCCATGTGGTCTAATCATCAAGTGGTCCAAGTTCCCCCCACATCACTTGGTCTAATGACTAATCTGGCTACCATTCATCAACTGCATATTGACAAAAGATTTCAACACTCTCTTGTTGAGTGAACAGCTTGGAAAGCTACGAACTCGAGTAAATTTGGAGATGGTGCACATTTTGCCATTATCCTATTTTCTTCCCACTTCTTAGTCATTCCACTGTCCCGATCTACCACATCAAGACAGAGAAAGATGGACGTAGGACATTCCAAGAGGTCACTAGGATCGAATGCAAGCATCCTCCTTGGTCTGTGACCTTTGACCCCAGTGGAAGACTACTGGTCCTACTACCTGACCCTGAGGCACCCCTCCTCGTCTTTGCGGTAGAAACGAATGATGATGATGGGGTCTTACAGGTAAGATTTCCTTTCAGTACAGGCTTTAGTTGATGTTATTCTTTTGATTTGTATTGGATTACTTCTTACTGAAATTTGGGTAATAGTTTATTCTTTGTATGAGCCTGAACAAGAAATTTGGAATTTTATTCTTCATTGGTTAGCACAATTGTTGCTTTCAGCAGTTGTCAGAATACTCAATAGATCTGTGAAGTGAAGGCCATACATAGGTTTTATATCAGTTACTACACCCAATCGGTTTTCATTGTGTAAATGCCTTTTCATGCAGTAGCTCATTTCATTTACTTTATAGGTTTCGGAGGACCTGTCATCAGAGGGCAGTGCAGCACTTCTGGCTCAACAGGTACAGCAAGACTGGGAGTTCTTGAAATGTAAGTACATGATATGATGAGGATGATAACGATGATATCATCATCATCTAGTGCCGTCCCTTCGAAAGGGGTTGGCGGCTATGCACCCCCCATTGCTTTCTGTCATGTTCCCTTGTTCTAACCTTGTTTGACATCATCAAAGCAAGTAGTTCGCTGTCTACCCCTTTCTCGTTTATCCTCTACCATTCCTTCCAGCAAGATCTTCTGCAATCCTCCTCCTCTCATCACATGACCAACATACGCTAGTTTTCTCTTCTGCACTGCGTTAATGATGATAACGATTATGCTAATTGGTAATGATGATAATTTGTATCTACTTTATTTTTTAAATGCCAAAGTATATCTTGGCCAGTTTTATTTTATTTGAAATTTGGTGCATCGTTCAGTTAGCATAGAGTTTAGATCAGGGACCCGTTTCACAAAGCCTTTATCCAATGACAAATATCAGTGACTAATCTGCTGATAACCAATCAGAAGCAAGGATTTCAGTATCTTATAACAAAAACTATCATTTATCACTGATGACAAGTTTTGTGAAACGCCCTCCCTGATCTACTGACTTTCTTATCTTCCATGTGACCACAGGTTCTTGCGATGTCCTAAGTGTCTTCAAGGGCCTTCACAAGGTACCCTTTGACAACATGTCGGACTACCTCCAGCGAAAACAAGAGAGGATGGATAACGACCAAACAAAGAAAGGCCCGCGGAGGAGAGCAAGGAGATGGAACAAGAGCAAAAAGCGGCCCATAGAGGGCGCTACAGGCAATGGTGATGCTGCTAAAAGGACTATGCTGGATGAGGAGGAGGATGACGAGGAGGGTGAAGAGGATGTTGATGAAGAGATAGAGGCAGTCGAAGCAAATTCATAGCCACCCAGACAAAGAAAGGCCAGAGAAGGAGAGCAAGGAGGATGAACAAGGGCAAGAAGCGGCCCAGGGCGCTACAGACAAGGACGATGCTGGATGATGAGGATGATGAAGAGGAGGATGAGGAGGAGGAGGAGGTCGATGATGGAAATGATGATGCGGATGGAATGGAGGTGGTCGAAGCAAATTCATAGCCATAGCAAAATAGATGGACTGACTTACTTATATCATCTATTGTCAACTTGAGGACAGATAATGGATTTAAAGAGAGAGGGTACGAGCTTTGGACAAGGTAGAAATAGACAGAAAGAAGGAACCAGAAGAAAGAGAAGGAGAAGGAAGAGGAAAAACAGAAGAGGAGGGGAAGGGAAGCTGAGAGAAGAGGAGAGGTAAGAAGAGAGATGGTACTGCAGAATAGAGACTTTCTTCATGCTTATTGACTTGACTGAATTTATCAACGCTTGGATCACAGGAGCAGGAATAACCAGACCAAAGCACTTTTACGAATTGAATGTGTTCATAAACACATTAGGATTGCCAGCATCCTTGTTGGGATAATTTGTCTCCATCAGAATTTGTTCATTCTTATTGTTACCCAGCATGTTGTGTACCGGCAAGGAATCCAGGAAAGATTTTAACATGTTGTGATGTTGAAATGATCGTGATAATAATGATGAACACTGATTAGATTAGTAATGACTATGTGGATAGAGGAAGCTTTCGATGAGATCTTAAATTAAGTGAGTCTGTAACATTGCCTCAGATTCTGAAACAAAATTCCTGGATTAAGCTCATGCTGCAATCATAATTAAAAACATTTAGGTCGGTCAGGAATCCCATGACTTTTACAAGCCGATGGCCTGTCTGATTATTGAGATATTTATGATTGGAAATCATAATTTAATTTTTTGTTTTCTTAACGTCTTTTATAACACTACAGTTTATTGGGGAAAATGAGTATGGTAAAACCGGTCACTCAAAGATTTTAACTTTTTTGAGGCACTTCCCGATCATTTTGAAGCGCAATTTTTTTAGGGCTTCAATATTATACCATATAACAGGCAATAATAACACGTAGGGCCGTGCATCTCAGATTCAAAATTGTTAAACGATGCCTTTAACTCGAGCATGGATCGGTCAAATGAAAATCCATACTTCAGCTCCAATCTGATGGCAATGATGAAAACAATGTCATTGGAGCATTTGAAGTAGATAATGGTCCACTCCCTCCATTTCCTTGGCCTTAAAGCAACCAATCATTAACTACATTTTTTTCCAAACAGCTCCAATAAACAGTAAGCCTGTCTATAGCGACCGCCTAAGGGAAACACAAAAAGTGGTCTTTGTAGACAAGTTCAAGTTCAAGTTCAAGTTTATTCAAACCAATCAAACACAACATTTTACAATCAATTGACACAAAAGAAATAAAAAACATGATAGGTTTGGGACCCCGGAGAAGCAGAGCTTGTGATAAGGGGCCCCTTAAAAGGTACATAAACAAAAACAAAATAACAGTATTTAGAATAACCGATGACAAAAACATATTTACAATGATAACTAATGAGTAAATATGGGAACAGAAAAAAAGATAACACACATTCACATACACACCCACGCACACACACACAGACACACACACATACACACATACACACATGGCTTTCCAGGATTTACTTTAACATATTTTGTAATCTCTCAAAAAGATATTCTCGACATGTATGTTTAAACATAGGTAGTGTTGGACTGGATCTGATGTTTTGTGGCAACTTATTCCATTCTTTGATACAATTAATTACAAAAGAGTTCGAAGCAGTTTGTGTTCTCGCAAACGGCTGATGGATAAGATTTCTCTGACGTGTGTTGTACGAATGGACAGTCGAATTAACAATAAACGCATCTTTTAAAAATGAATTATTTTGAGCAGATTGAGATTTGTACATGAATATCAAACAATTCATGGAGACTAATTCATCAAGAGGCAACATCTGAAGTGGCACAAATAAAGGATTACTTGGACTTCTGTAATTTGAATTTGTAATGAGCCTGATAGCTTTCTTCTGAAGGACTATTAACTTGTTTATATGGCTCCTATACGTATTTCCCCATGCAACATTACAATAAGTTAAGTAAGGCATAATGATAGCATTATAAAGAGTTACTAAAGTTTGCTCTGGTAAAAAAAAGCGTAACTTAAAAATCACACCAACACTCCTCGAGACCTTGGTACAAACATTGCTGAGGTGATCTTTCCAAGTTAAATGATCATCAACTGTAACTCCAAGAAACCTTACATTTTGACTCCGGTTGATCAGATGACCACCTATTGTCAGGGGGTCAATATTATCTGGGATTCTTTTGCCCCTTGATCTAAAAACAACATATTGAGTCTTACTAGCATTTAACAAAAGTTTGTTGCAACAAAACCACTTAAATATATTGTGAACTTCATTATTTGCAGACAAAATCAGATTACGCATGTCTTTGTGGTGAGAGAGCAAGCAAGTATCATCAGCAAAAAGTGAATAAGTAAACAACTGAGATGAGTTTATAATATCATTAATATAAATCAAGAACAATAAGGGGCCCAGGACTGAGCCTTGGGGTACGCCATATTTTACCTTCCTAGATTGTGATTTAACTCCATTAACCACTACATACTGTAATCGATTATGTAAGTAATTTTTAAACCATTTCAAAGCTATCCCACGAATGCCATAATGCTCAAGCTTGCTTAATAATATATCATGATCAATAGTGTCGAATGCTTTCGATAAATCCAAAAACACACCAAGACAAAACTTCCCAGCATCAATTGCATTTATAATAGTGTTTACCAAATTCAAGACACCCATACTTGTAGAGCAATTCTTTCGAAAGCCAAATTGTTGTGGGATCAGAATATCATGAAGTCGAAGGAAGTCATCCAACCTTTTATACACTATTTTCTCTAGAATTTTTGAAAATATGGGTAACAAAGCAATTGGTCTATAATTCTCAATGTTCTTACGATCATTCTTCTTGAATACAGGGATTACTTTAGCTATTTTCAATTTGTTTGGGACAATACCCTGAAACAAGGACTTATTAAAAATATCACACAAGGGTTCAACAATGCATTGAATACAAGTTTGAATGACTTTTGGGGAAATGTCGTCAGAACCGCATGCCTTGGATGGTTTTAGAGTTAAAACAAAGTTAGAAATTTCATGAACAGACGTTGGTCTAAAGTACAAGGACGAGGAGTGATTCTGCACTGACAAAAATTGTTTGTATGATGTTTGGACAGGAGGAATTTCCTTGTTTATTTTAGAGGGCAAATCAATGAAATATTCATTAAAATATTTTGCTTTTTGTAAGTCTGATTTTAACAGTAAATCATTATGATACATATCATTTGGAAGTGGCGTCTTCTTCCCCCTCCCAAGCAAACCATTAATATGAGACCAAGTCTTTCTAATATCATTCTGAGTAGTTCGAAAAACATTATCATAATAATCCTTCTTACTTTGACGAACAAGGTTTGTCAACAAGTTTTTATAGTCAACATAACTTTTCCGATTAATCTCATTTTGGTTCTTAATATATGTATGATAAAGCTTATGTTTCTGATTAATAGATTTCAGAAGACTTGGAGTAATCCATGGTTTCCTGCATTTCTTCTTCACACTCAATTCAACTAAAGGGAAATGTAAATTATATAAGTTGGAAAAAAAAAACACTAAAATAGTCATAAGAAACATTTGCATCAAACAAGCTATATAAACTAGACCAATCAACTTGAAGAAGATCGCGTTGGAAATTATTCATTCTTTCATCAGTAATCACACGTCTAAATAATTTATTGTGTATTTCCTGTAGTGACTGCATTGCCTTTGTTAATGCTACAAATTGGCATGTGATCAGAGAAATCAGAACAGAATATTCCAGAATAGAAATGGTCTTGAACACAGTTTGTAAATATATTATCGATTAAGGTTGCTGAAGATGACGTGATACGAGTCGGTTTAGTGATTAGGGAAAGCAACCCAAACGAAAACATAAAGTCAACAAAATCTTTTACCTTTTCATCTACATCAACATTTAACAAATTGATATTAAAGTCACCCATAATATAAATGTCATTCCTTTCTTTACTCAGTATTTGCATTTCATGATCAAAGCCATCAATAAATGATCTAATGTCATTACCAGGTGCTCTATAAATGCATCCGACAATCGACTTTTTGTTTGCAATACTAATTTCTAAAAATACACATTCATAATAAGCATTAGCCATAGATAGATCATTACGTATTTTGTAATCAAGCCCGTCTCGGACATAACATGCTACTCCACCACCTTTCTTATTTGATCGACAGACTTGAACAAATGAATATCCTGGATAAAAGACCTGGAATATCAAACATAGCTACATCTGTAGATGGTTTGAACCAGGTTTCTGAAATACCAATAACAGAGAAATTATGTTCTATACAGGATAGTAATACTACCAGATCATCAAAGTTTTTAAAAAGACTTCTGGAGTTAATATGCATCAGAGAAAGTTTTTTATCGCCATTAAACTGGAAATCGCTGCAGTTGATATAGCTACACTCATTAACAACAGCATCATTAATATCTTCAAAATCATCATCCATGAGGAAAGATTAGATGTAAACAGTATATAAAAACAACAGATCTGAAGCGGTCATAAAAAATATCAAATACCAAAACAGAGAGATAAAACAAAGCAGTTTGCGGATAGCCATCACATTCATTCACATACAAGAACACACACACAGACACACTCAGAACGACATGAACATAAAAATATATAGAGATGTACAGAGTATATTGATAAAAAAAAGTGCAAGTGCACATAGTAAAAAGTGAAAGAGAAATAAGGCATAAAAAGGGAAAAAGAAAGATGTATAAAGAAAACAAGACGTAATAAACAGAGAGAATATATATATATATATATATATATATATATATATATATAAATGTAAGAGGGAAAACAAAAGGTGTAAAGAACGTTAGATAACGCACGGGTAAAAATGCAAACCTCTAGGAGAGGCACTTGGAAGTAAAAAGAAAAATAAAGAGTTACAAAGTCGCAGCTTGCTGCAAAGATGAGAAAAGTTTTTTGACTTGAACCCCCTCTTCGTTGGTCTTGAGGGCAGCCATGACTCTTCCATCAATCGACCAAGCCACTTCCACCTTTGGATGGGTCGCCAATTTCATCAGAATTTTGTGGTTAAGTGAAGTTAAGTCCTCCTGGATGGAGATACCTGACCCCTTCAGCTTGCGACGCTCCTTCATCAACTCTGCCTTCATTCTGTGCGAGGACAGCTTCACTAAAATTGGGCGGGGCTTGTCGTCGGTGCGGGGCTTCCCTGAACGGTGTGACCTGTCAATGTTGGCCTTGGTCATAGGACAGCTGAGATGCTCTGATACCACCTTAAGTACCAAGTCATCGGTACTCTCCTTAGATGTCTCCGGCACCCCAAACACCCGAACAGAGTTCCGCCGACTATATTGCTCTAAGTCGTTGGCTCGACTCTCGAAAGCCTCAATCTTGCTCCCCAATGACTTCATGGAAGTGGTGAGGGACTGAACTTGGGCCTCCTTTTTATCCAGCGCAACTTTTAGATCGTGGATGTCGCCTTCTTGCCTCTCAATCTTCTCCTCAAACAGGTTCCTTTAGTACATGTTTCAATGAGAAACAATTTTCAAGGAAAAACAAATGTGGTCTTTGTAGACAGTTGGTCACTAAAGCAGGTATGACTGTAAAGAATAAGACCCCCAGCATTATGTTACCTGGTATGTCATTAAGTACTATAATTTATGCACATTATATTTTGTTGATGATTTAACATAGTGTAATGAACCAGTTCGCCACAATTTAAGTTATCTTGCAGAAAACGTAGAGGGCGCAGTAAGCTTTTGGGGCGTAAGGGCTCAGAGCGCGATTACGGCCGCACCATGCGTAAAGCAGCTCTCAGAGCGTCTCAGAGGCTATAAATACCAGTATTTCATGGTAATTTCGTCACCTCGACGCTGGCTCTCGTCTTGGTCAGATAGCGAACTCTCCGCTTTGCTCCAACTGAGCTAAAATAAGGAAAAGGATTGGAGGCGAGAAATAGAGTTCCTACAAAAGGCAATCCCTGCCCTTACTACTTGTTGAGATTAATCCAGGTAATTGGTGTCGGTGTTAACTATGATAATGTGTTGGAGATGTTGACTTATGTTTGTATTATTAAAGTATACAGGTGTGGAGCCCCACAGAATACCCCCCCCCCCCCCTATTTTTTTGTATATCTTTGACTATGTATGTATGACACAAGTATATTTCTAGCCCCCATAAAGTCCCTCCTCTTAGTTAATTAGGTACCCCCTCCTGCGAGAGTTGCCTCACCCACAACTAACCTAAACACACCAGCTGGGATACCAGGAGTGGCTTCTCACTTTGTTTTGCCATGCATCCTAGTCAACACCTTTCTTATTTTGTCTTCCTTTCATAGGTAAGAAAGAATCTCTTATTATTCAATTGTGTTATATTCTTGTTCTTCATAATATGTGTATTTTTAAACTATTATAACTTCACTATTCATATATTTTGTATTACTGTATAAAAAGAGATATTAATGGTCTTTGGCTATGAGATGTTGGATTATATATGACATGTGGACTATGGGTGGAAATATAAGAGATGCCATGTGGGAAGAGATAATGTCATTGATGAACATAGTAATCACTTGTAGAAATGATAGGAAAGTATTATCGTGTGTGTGAGATTGATGATTATGTTGTTTGATTTAGACAACATTTTAAGTAAGTTTTGAGAAGAGAATATACTTTATTACTGTCAGTATATTTGTCTTTTGCTCGATATTCATGTGTATATATATATTCTTAGCCAAGGACATGTGCCATTTACTATGCATTATGCCAAAGCACATTGTTATATATTCTAGTTCGAGTTAGATACAGTTTTAGTAGCGAAATGAGTTGTTCGAGTCCAGATTATCTTTAACTTTCAGTATTATGGTATGAGTGAGTGTGGACGCACCATGTGTATAATATTAGTGTGTTATTAGGATATGGCAGTGCGTTCAATGTGAACACAATTTCTTATCAGAGTTCTTAATCCCCTCTCCCCCCAAGCTTGACCATCCACTGCAATGCATTACACGCACACAGTGTGGATATAGTATATGCTATACCCAAATGCTATGTTGAGAAGTGTTAGAGATAGAATGTGTTTGTTTTTGACCCATGCTGGAAATGGTATCTTAGGCGGGAATGAAAGTTTGGTAGAGTCAGCAAAATGAGAAGACAAAGGATTTGAGTTGGGGAATACACTTGTTGAGAAACACATGGTCAAATTGTCTAATAGTTAGCTAGTGATGGATGGGTTGATGAAATATTGTAGTTAAAGACTTGCATAATCACTGTCTGGAATTCATTGTATTATATTGTTAGGAATGATAATTCAGGTTAAATGTTATTGGGAATTACTCTCTCTCTCTCTCTCTCTCTATATATATATATATATATATCTCCCCCTCTCTCTCTCTCTCCCCTCTCTCTTTATATTCTCTCCCTCTCCTTCTCTCTCTCTCTCTCTCTCTCTCTCTCTCTTTGTATTGTTTACCCCTTCTCTTTCACTCCCACATTACTTTTTATGTATTGCCATGAAATGAATATACACGTATTTAGTAAAACTATTGGTTGTTGATTATAATTAGAATATGAACTATATGTGTAGATGAGATTACCGTGAGAGGAAAGCGTAATACTGGTTGTAAGTTTGCTAGAGCTATATAATTAGTACAGACTGCAGACTAAGACTATTTGCCAGTTCTGTGAATATTGTAAGGAGTTTAGGATATAAGTTGTTGAAGATGTAATAATAATAATAATAATAATAATCCGTTTTTTTATAAGTTTATTCAGTATTAATGTGAAGTCCTGAGACAAGAAGTAACTTGTGAATTTAGGGATTAGTGAAGGCTGAGAGTAGAATTACATTCTAAGGGTCTATGTGCACAAGGGATCCTCAGTCTTGGAGCGTAAAGAGTAGAAAGCTTATTAGGCAATAGTATAGGGATGATTATGCCAACATTCTTGTATTAGGTCTATATATGTGATTTCTTGAAAGAGACGCTAAGTGAAGAGTTATATGATTAGAAGCTAAAGTAGATTGACTGATACCGCAATGTTATAGACATTTGATAAGGGTTAAGTTATTTATTAGTAGCCAAGTTATGATTATGAGATCGAGGAAGAGTTGCGCTTTTAAATAAAGCATGGAAGTAAGGATAGTTTCGTTTAGAGATAGTAAAGTAATGAAACTAACCAGATGATGTTCTTAGTGATATAGTAAGAGAACACTGAGAGCTAATGAATTCAATGTATGCGAACAGGTAGATTTATTTGTGTTTAATACTTGAAGAGTATTGTTATGCCATTTGATCGTATATATGTTATTGTAAGAAAAGACTGTTATTGTAGAAGATTAAGTAATAAATGACTTTGTTTTGCCATGCATCCTAGTCAACACCTTTCTTATTTTGTCTTCCTTTAATAGGTATGCCCCCTCCCTCGGGGTGTGGGCGCTACACAGTTAAACAATCCATCGTTTCATAACGTGTGATTAGTTGAGTCTCCATAGACTGACGTAATATAACCCTCTCATAGAGAATACACATCCACCTATCCAAAACACCTCTCATCTCCACACCCATATATTTTGGGAAAACGGAGCCATGTCCGGGACTCTAGACTACAAGCCAAATAGAAACCGCTCGCATTAGTCAGGATGACAAACTCTTCGTCAGATGATGGTGATAGAGGCAAGGAACAGGCCAGCCCTCCAGCATCCAGGACCCGTTCTAAGATGGAGGGCCGTAACAATAGTGATTTGTATCTTCTTCTGCAAAATGTTTCAAATGGACTTTATGAATACATACCGTAACTTGAAAACAAATCATTAAATTTCATTTCTTGTATATGATGGTGTCCTATAATTTTCTTATGTATTGTATTGTATTGTATTTAATTCATCAATATCAATTTTGATATTTGATGATGATGGTGAGATAATCAGATAGCTACCTGTATCAAAGATAGGTGATGTTAATGGTTCATGATGACCGTGGTGTTGACGATGATCAAGACAAATGCCATTCCTTATCCCCATACGCTAAACCTAAACAGGACTTAATAGAGTAAATATTGCCATCGCAACACACATCATCGACATCTCACAACATAACTTTAGTTTACTTTCCTCTTGCTAACATAAACTCCTCAAACAAAAATTCTGCAATTCAAGTTTTGGTGTTGATATCTCTCTTGTTAGTGTATTTATATTTTATGTCGGTACCATTGAAAAGCCTGTTTATTTCCCTTTAATAATAATAATAATATTCCTGTGTTTATATAGCGCTCAATACATGGATCCGACGATGTGCCTAAGCGCTTTACAGATATAACCCCGGTCATCGGATTCAGGCTTACCCGCACACAGTGTATGCACATTCCAGCCAGTCGCCATTTTACAAGCGCACACTTGCTTGTTCAACCACATGGACGTTCGCATCCTACCGGGTACCCACTTAACACCTGGGTGGAGAGTAGCAAATGCAGGTTAATATCTTGCCAAAGGATATTTGTGCCGTGTCGGGATTAGAACCCTCGACCCTCGCATCTCCAGTTAAGCGCCTTAAACCACTTTTACTGATGTTTATGGTATGGAATGTGCAGTAACCATTGAAAATTATCATAATTAAATTCTTTATTTGTTTGGAGGATTGCTTGTGTTTTGAAGGAATAACAATTGCCCCATATTCATGTTTACTGCACAGTCCATGATTACATAATCATTATATATGGGGCAATATCAATCAAGTATGATAACATGAGAGATATAAACGCTAACACTTGAATTGCAGAGCCTTTTTTGAGAAGTTAACATTCTCTCTTAAAGGTAAAGACCAGTATTGGAAACGCCCCAATTTAAAAAAAAAAATGTAAGCTCTTATTACCAATCATGTGAAAGAATATATGTTTTGACCAATACATGATGATAACAATTTTGCCGGGAAACCGCCTACTAATTGATATATTTGGTAAATTAGGTTATCTATTGGTGTGTGAGAGATAAACGCGTGTGCGTAGTCCCATATACATCTTTCAGTGCTTGTAAGTACTTTACGATGACTGGGCCAAATTTCTTATCATTTTGATGATTCGAGAACCTTGCAGTACACACCAATACTTATATGCTAGATGATCAACCTTTTCTGATCGATTCTACAACGTTTCTTTAACCAAGTTCTTTCCCTCTTTACCAGTATGCATGAAATGTATAGCATCCTCGACACATTATAAAGCAAAACAAATCACAAAATTTTGTACATGAAAAATTTGTTCAGTTTATTATGTGAAATATTTACAAAAATTTACAATTTCCCTCTTGAGAAATACAGGTTAATATGCCATATTTGATTCTCCAAATTAAGCCCTAGGTCTGGTATTGTACTAATTCAGGATTAAATTCATGTTGCAATAAGGAAAGCTTAACCCTCATGTGTAGCAGGAACACATACATGTCTAAGGAATGTTGGATGTAATCAAAATCCTGGAGGGTCAATACACAAATTAATTATTAGATCCCTTGAAGGTAGTCTTGTTGAGTTTGGTGATGATTTTTTTTAAATAATATGATTCTCAAGATACACATATTCAGTGCAATTTTCACTGCACATTGATGACTATAAAGAGAGACAAAGAGAGAGAGAGAGAGAGAGTATGAGAGAGAGTGAGAGACAAATAGAAAGAGAGAGAGGGGGAGTGGAGGAGAATGAGCAAAGAGAAGAGATTCTCAAAAAATACAACCTTACTGAATGATAAAAGCTTGAGAGTGAGAGGGAGGGAAAGAAAGAGAGTGGGCAACAGTATAAGAAGATGGAGGGGTATAAAAACTTAAAGAGGGCTTTCAAATATGGCAAAGGCAGAATGGAGAAGTCCTGTTCAAGACCAAGTTAGTGCACTTGATAAGGCCTTCATTCTCAACTACCATCTTTCTCTGACATTCTTGCACTAAAAGGGAATCCCGATTACACCATCACGTAGATAAATAGTTGTTTAAATTGCATCTAAGCTGAGATAGTATTTCTCCCCCTTCTGCTCATGTATCTATCAAGATAACCAGTGATAAATAGATTGCAGTTGTATTTGAGACAACCTTTGCTATTTTATCCACCTTCGGCTAATGCATCTGTCAAAGCAGCACAATCTTTCGTTAGCTATCTAGATGAGACAGTCCTCGCCATTTCATCACCTTCTCATAATGCCTTTGTCAAGACAGCAGACCAGGCGCAGTGACAAACAGTTTCCAGCCACACATGAAATGGTCTTCGCTATTTCTCCACCTTCTGTTTCTTAATCGCTCCTATCGATGAGATGGCCGTCGTCTTGGATCCTGCGGCTGGGGTGGTCGTTGAGACGCCCATTGAGGTGGGGATGGTGGTGGTGATGAGGGCGATAGTTTCAAGTCATGCATAAGATAGCCTTTGTTATTTCTCCACTTTCTGTTTCTTAATCGCTCCTATCGATGAGATGACCGTCGTCTTGGATCCCGCTGCCGAGGTGGTCGTCGAGACGCCCGTTGAGGTGGGGATGGTGGTGGTGATGACGGTGATGATGGGGCGTTGCATCAGCGGTACCGGAGCGGGGAGGGTTTGAGCTGGATTGTCCCACTTGCTTTTCCTCTTTTTCTCTTCTTCTGATCCAAGGCAGAAAGGCAATGGGAAAGGAAAAGATGAAAAATAATGAGGAAAATTCTTCTACTGACATATATATATATATATATATATATATATATATATAATAAAAATTGATGAGGCCAAGTTTTCATGACAGGAAAATTGGATTCTTTTGTTTCTTCACATGTAAAAATGTAGTTAGAGATCATGCTGAATGCACTGTAATAATTATATTTCTATTTGAGAATTTTGAAATGAATTCAAGAAATATAAATCAATGTCTAACCATAAATTGATACAACTCCACAAACGAACAAAAATGACAGCACACACCACCACCAAACACCATTATCAAAACTCTCTAGCCACCAAATTCATCAAACATCACAGCTCTACATACCATGGCTGGTACCCCGATTGGTGGGTCATGTCAATGATACCATGTATTCCTACGGTTTTCACCACCAAGCATCATGAGAAAATCCTAGTCACAAACGCCATCACAAATTGTCGCCCAAGCTCTCCCTATCATGTTAGGTGACAGAAAAGTGACACCTGCCAACGCAAATCATTAGAGCTTTACATACCATGGCCGGTACCCTAAGTTGTGGTGAACACCAATGGTAACCACAATTTCCTGTGGTTCTTTTCTACAGATATCAACACCATCAAATACACATCATCAAAACTCTACAGCCACCAGTACCACGAGACATCATCTTCAAAGCTCTACATACCATGGCCGGTTCCCTGATTGATGGAGGTTAATGGTATCACTATTTCCTGTGGTAATTTTCTACAGATATCAACACCATCAAAACTCTCCAGCCACCAGCATCATGTGACATCAACATCAAAGCTCTACATACCATGGCCGGTACCCTTATTTGTGGTGGATATCGCTGGTACCACTATTTCCCGTGGTAATTTTCTACATAATCAACACCATCAAATACACATGATTAAAACTCTACAGCCACCAGCATCACGAGACATCATCATCAAAGCTCTACATACCATGGCCGGTACCCTGATTGATGGTGGAGGTTGATGGTACTGCTACTCCTGTGGTACTCGTGACCAGTGGTGCCTGGATCTGTGTCTTCCTCACCACGCCAGTCACAAACTCCACCTTGGTCTTCTCCTTCTTGTCTTTCTCTTTCTTCTTCTGTATCTCCTCTCTCTGTGCTTTGGCTGGAATCGGTACAAAAGTAGAATAGTCATTCTTTGTTTTATCTCTGTTATTTACTACAGGATTCACACACAGTTGTTGAATATGCTATTCAGCGCCACTACTGAGATACTCCCAAGTATACTTCAGGATATTAAAAGAAAGCTATCTAAGCTCACGTCTTCTTTGTGGTTATACTTGACACGGTCTTTTAACAAATTTGTTTGTTTGGGGAGGGAATAATTTGATCTAAATGGTTTATATTCAATAGGGCTTTGGCCCATCTGGTGTCATTTGACAAAATGAAACCCCTAAACTTAAACCTGTTGTTGAAACAGTTTTACCTTTCAAACAAAAGAGGAGTGAAGTGGATATCACTAGAGCTGTGACTTACCTAGAGCCTCGTAGTAAGAGCTTTCTTTCCAGCTGTACGGGTCGTACATGTCTTTGGGGTAGTTGGTACCTAGCTCGTCTACGCCCAGAAAGTTGATCATTTTTTCATATATACTGCAGAGGAAAAGTCAAAATAGGAAATACAATTAAATACATCATGAGAGACAAAGTTTTGACTAGACTGCACAGTAGCTAATTGGCTTAAAGTTACATTCATTTTATTCAAATAACCCCCAACTCCCCCCCCCCCCCCATTTTCCTCCCTGTCCCTCTCTTGTTGCTCTTTCTTCCCATACACACACTCTCTCTCTCTCTCTCTCTTGTCCCTCTGTCTTCCCATGCTCTCACCCTCTCTTTCTCTTTCTTCTCCCACCCTCTCTCTCTCATTTCTCACACAATGAAAAACAAGGGTTTGTGCTTAGCTTGTAGTTCCCCAAATATTGAGTCACACAAATAGCCTCACCCCCTCTCTCTTTCTATTTACCATCCCCATCTTCCCCCTTGTCTCACTCTCTCTCTCTCCACCCTTTCTCTTCACTCACCTTGGATTTCGGAAGTCTTTTCTTCTTTGGATGATTTGGTTCAGATTGAGGTTCTTCTTGTAATAAGAGCTTATTTTCTCCTGTAACAAAAGAACATAGAAAGGACAACTGGGATGAAATTAGAGGAATATAGTTGAATATTATCAAGTGGTCTTAATCATTTTATCTTAACATTTTAACATGTGAATTTACTTCAGCAACATCACCATAATCATCAAATATTATAATGCCGGTTGTAATTGTCATCCTTGCCGTAATCATCGTGTCATCTTCATCATCACCACCATAGCATCATCATCATCGTCGTAAAGTCGTAATCATCTCCATCGTCAACGCCATCATCATCAACATCACTACCACCACCACCACCACTTTCATTAACTAAATTGCCATCATCATCATCATCACTACAATCATCTCCATCATCATCAACACCACTACCACCACCACTTTCATTATGACTATTGCCATCACCATCACCATCATCATCATTACCTGAAGATGTCTGGAGCATCTACCCGGGGGTTCTGGAGGTAGAGTTACTTCCTCCGCGCTCAGCCGACGGATCTTTTGTGACAACGCCGATTCTGGTAATGACATGGAGGCATTAAAGTAGGAGCTGTCGACAAGCTGAAAAGACAAAGAACGGCAAAAATGCTAAGTACATATTTTTCCTCTTCATGGTACCTGAGCATTAATACAAATTCTAAGAAAAAGTGGTGTTCTTTCAGCAATCAAGGATTTTAAATATGGAGTAGTAAAAATGCCCCCCACCCCCCTTTCCGAGAAGAAAGCATTAACCTGAATGATGCATACTTTAATCTAACAAAGGCTATGATTGCAGGGCCCTCAAGGAGAACAGTATTAACACCAATGAGGCTACCAAAGTAAACAAGGCATATTACAATCATCATTACTACTACTATTACTCCTACTACTACTACTACTACTACTACTACTACTTCTACTACTACCTACAACTACTACTACTACTTCTACTTCTACTACTATTATTATTATCACCTTTCCTTTGTCAACTTTGACCCTGTCTTCAAGGTCATCCCCCGGCGAGAGCTTTGCTTCCAACCATGATTCGTCATGGTAGTCGCCCTCCTCTCCCCCACCCTCCTTCGATCTCCTTCCACCGTCATCGTCCTCACCCTCGTACGCCACAAGGCCTGTCGTCCTCGTCCCCTTGCTCTCCTCTCGTTCGTAGGACACCAAGCTCGGGGCGTTTGATGATGGACCTGAAATTAGATATTAATGGAGAGTTTCATTATAATATGTTCATTTATGTAGCGCTCTCAAACAATTGGTTTCACAGTGCTTAAAATTGAAAAAAGGTGGGGAAATCATTTAAATAAATGCGTCTTAAAGTTGTCTAGTGTAGGTGCTGTACGGTTGATCTGGGGCGGTTGATTCCAGAGACGGGGTGCATATGATTGAAAAATGAAAAGCATTGTCATATTATGTCAATGTGACCATCCCTTACATGTACACGCATGCATCTTGTTGCAGCCTATCTGCACTAGTTTGGCCAGGAGGGACTAGACCTCCCTGCGAGGTCACTGGAAGGTAGTTATCTCAATAAAGATAAGAAAAAGGAGACCACGGGGGATCAATGGATACCGCTTAGGCATTGTTGGCTATATAGAGGACGAAAGTAAGTACAAGTAGTGCTGTCCCGCTTTAATTAAAGCCTTCCTACTCACTTGGGCTTTCCTTGAAACTCCGCTCCGTCTCGCTCATCTGCATGGCTTCTATCTCAGCATCTTCATCCCCAACTCTCTCTTCTTCCGGGATGCTCTCCATTACATCCTCCTCATCATCCTCTCTCACTCGTTCCTCATCTGAATCCGACGTGTAGCTGACGAGATGCGTCAGGCGCCGCATGCCTCCGTCGTTGTGCGACATGGTTACAATCTGTAATGGAAAAAAAAAAAAAAGATTTTAGCGTATGATATATGAATAGGGAGGGACCTGTTTCATGAAATTTGTTATCAATATCAAGTACAAATAATAAATACTGTCTGTACTAGAAGTGCTAGCCAAAAGATGACAAAAAGATAACAAAAAAGTAATATTACACTTCAAGTCTTCAGTAGGCCTATTTAGTATTCAAAAGTGTCATTTTTATTTCCAATTTTTGGAGGATTTTGAAAAATTATGAAGTTCAACTTCTAACATTAACTTAATTTTGGAGCAATGTCAACAAACAACAATTTTACAACTACAGTCTACAAGCGGTAAGGGCGCTGGTTGGAGAATAAGGATCATCCACATAAACGAGGTATGCTTCGTAAACGCAGGCAGACGCCTCCTAAAAAATAAGATTCTTATTTCCGATCTGAACGTTGGCGATGCAAATAAATCCCATTAGTGATGATGCTCCTTCCTTGATGCTTTTCACACTAACTATAAATCCTCGGGAAGGCGGACAACCAATAGAACCTAGTCTACAAGTTGACGGCGCACTGGGGGTATTTTATTACGCAGAATCAGTTTTTCGCATTGCCATTGCACGGATCAGGAATCCTACACCCGGCCCGCAGAGCGTCGAAGAAAACAAAAATCTGCAAAAATGAGGACGATCTTTATTGTTTAGTACACCATTTGTCAGCGTTTACGAGGATATCCTCATTTATGCGGACGATCCAGCCCCCTAATGACAAGACGGATATTTCATTTCATTTCATTTATTTTCATATTTCTCATAAACATACGTATATTTCAAATGAAGTACAAATTTTTTTTTCTTCAATAACACATAATAATAACAGAGATAAGTGGTCAATATGAATTTGTGATTTAATAATAATAATAATAATAATAATAAATTTATATAGCGCAGCTTTTATACAAGATATATTCAGCTGCGCTGGTTAAGAGCTCCTTTTTACTAAATTCTACAAAATAAGATCACTCAGTTGAACAAATAAGTTTTTAAATTGGATTTAAAAACATTGAGAGATGGAGTGCTTCTTATTTCTATTGGCAAGCTATTCCATAATTTGGGGGCAGCAATAGCAAAAGCACGGTCCCCAAGAGTTACTTTAGTTTTGCCATGGGGAATCTGAAACAATAATTTATCTGTGGAACTGCGCAGGCTACGACTGTGTGATTGGACTTTGAGTTGAAGTAATTCTTTGATGTAATTAGGGGCTTGACCGCTCAGTGATTTATAGACGATTAACAATATTTTGAATGAGATTCTTTGACGGACTGGCAACCTGTGGAGTTCTTTCAGAAGAGGTGCGGTTGAAGTGAATTTCGACCGACGATAGACAAGTCTTGCACGCATTTTGTACTCTTTGTAACTTAGCTATCAGAGAATCAGGCATTCCAAACAGCAACCCGTTACAATAATCAAGCTTACTTGTGATAAGAGCATGTACAACCAATTTCATACTTTCTTGATCAAAATATTTGCGGATACGTCTGAGATTGTACAGAAGATAGTATGTTGATTTGCATATATTTTTAACATGTGTTTCCATGGTTAAATTAGTATCAAAGTATACTCCTAAATTCCTTGTTGTAACAGAGGGTATCACATTGGAGGATCCAACTCTTACACCGTCAATGCTTATTTTTGAGATCTGTTGTGGAGTTCCTATAACCAAAAATTCACTCTTACTATCGTTTAGCTTAAGATTATTGTTAAGCATCCATCTATGAATAAAATTAACAAATTTTTCCAACATTGAAACACTTGCATCTTGAGTACTAGTGGATGGTCTAAAGGATAAAAATAATTGTGTGTCGTCTGCATAACAGTGACAGGAGACTTCAGGAAAATTATCCTGAGTGCTCTTGATTAGATTACTCGTGTATAACATAAAAAGCAAAGGGCCGAGCCGAGAGCCCTGTGGCACACCAAAGGGCACCTGGAAAGAGTCAGAGACAATGCCATCAATGCCATCAATGCCATAACTAAGAGAAATATGATGGGACCTACATGAAAGCAAGCTTGTAAGGCTGTAGGCCCCAGTAAAGTAATTGTGGTAATAAATGGAGGACGGATATACATGTAAATAGTGACCAATCTAAATGATTAAAAAATAAAAGGAAATAATAATAAACTCTAAGAATAGCTCTAAGAAGGTGACTACTAAGAAGCCGGCCGCCCACCCACCGGCTGCCGAGATGGTTGCTACAGCAACCATATGATAGGTCTAACAATTTTATAATTTAAATATTAACATTAACTAGACTATCACTTGTTCTGCAGACCTACATGTATTTATTCAGTCTCAGACTTTGCTTCCACAAGTTCCAACTAGACTAGAGTCTAGCTTAGACTCTATATCCACACACACAAAAAACGTCAACAACATCAGTAGGGGCGCTGGTCCGAGAATAAGGATCGTCTTTGTATACGCGGACCAATGCGTCCTCAAAAACAAGGATCGTCTGCAAAATAGCAGATGTGCCATATTTTTGATCTGCACATTGGCGATGCAAAAAACGGATTCCGGGATGATTTTCTTGATGCATTTTACATTGACTTTGTACAGAGACCTTCACATTATGAGCAATAAATCCTTGGGAAGACGGACAACCCATAAAAGTAGATGGTCAACCAGGGTTATTTTCCCCTGGGGAATCCAAATTTGGCATTGGTAACCCGAAACCCGCAGAGCGCCAATGAAAAAAATGTCTGCGAACATGCAGACGATCCTTGTGTTATAAGGAAGCATTTTGTCTGCGTTTATGAGGACGATCATCATTCTCGGACCAACGCCCCTACTGAATGTCCAAATTCTGAAACGGAGTCGGTGAAAGCCGACTCCGACATGACAAGTCTGAGCTGATCGAGTTTGCTTAAAAACAAGCATTCAAGGATCTATTACGGTACTCATAGCTCCTTCAAAATTTTGCACTTTCCTCTAGGCTAAATCTGACTTTATTTTGCTTTGTTCTTTGCTACATCCTTGACCTTAATGACCGGAATAGCCTTCCCCCAAACACACCATTAATTGCGCATTGATCAAAACTTCTGCGAAGGACGCCGACAATTTACAAATTACGATTCAACATAGATCTAACACATACAAATCTAGAAATAGAATCTAGATCTATATGGATCTATATGGACAAGTCACAATTAATCTTGCACAAATAACGATCAGAAATGTTGAATATTAACGACACATAAAATATTAATGCCAATTCACTTTTGCAAAGATCTTCTTACCTTTACTTCAATAGACGATCTGCATTGATATGATACATTTACGGTCCTCACAACTCGGCCACCGAAAATCCGACCCTGCGTGTAGCTCGACCCAGATCCTGTCCACTTGTCTAGCGCAGGGTGACTCCGGATTTTTTTTAAAAATAAATAATAATAAACCCTATTCAATGTAGTGGGGCGCATTTCTATAAAAATGCTCAAGGGCATCATTTATCATCTCGGTAACAGGCCTATCGACCTTATCAGTATATATGAAGGCATTGTATTATGCTCCAGTAAAAAATATTTTAAAAAAGATGAAGAAGAAGTGAAGAAACTAGAAGAAAAAGACGAACAAGAAGAAGAACAACAAGAGTAGAAGAAGAAGAAGAAGAAGAAGAAGAAGAAGATGATGAAGAAGAAGAAGAATAAAGAAGGAGGAGGAGAAGAAGAAGAAGAAGAAGAAGAAGAAGAAGAAGAAGAAGAAAGAAGAAGAAGAAACTAGAAGATGAAAAAGAAAAAGAAAAAGAAGGAGAAGAAGAAGAAAATGAAGAAACTAGAAGAAGAAGAAAAAGAAGAAGAAAAGAAGGAGGAAGAAGAAGAAGAAGAAGAAGAAGAAGAAGAAGCTAGAAGAAGAAAAAGAAGAAGAAAAAGAAGAAGAAAAATGCTCAAAATAGCTAGCCTACTACAAAAATGATCTCAAATATAATTGTGACTATGAGTACCGTATTTTGTAATTTATGGGAATGCCGGGAATTAAAGGAAGTTTAGACAATTCGCAAAAAAACTGCAGAATAGGGCATGTCGGGTGATACTCCAATACGAGAATGGATGTTCCGTAACCGAGATCTATTTCTTTGTTTGAAAACAGAAAATCTATCAGAATGGAGAGATCAACATGTTTTATGTATATTTTTATTTTTTTTTGGTATAAAATTAGTCATGAAATGATATCTGGTGGGTTTATTAAGGAATATTATTTTAGCTTGAGAAATGCTCATACAACCTAAGATCTGCCAAAACCACATATGAATTTCAAAAAAAAATGAGGAGCTCATGTTATTTATAAGGGCAAGCACTGAATCCAATGACCGGGGTAATAGTATATTTTTTAAGCTCTTATAGAGACATTTTTATTAAGCGCTATATAAAAATTCAATATTCTATTATTATTATTATTGAATTTTGGAATCAGTTACCTATATGAACGTAAAAAATATGTATTTCTCTGTGAAATCACTAAAGACATGTGAATGCTGGTTATATGTACAATTACTTCTTCTCCTATCTTGAAATTGCTTTTTCCCTCCACAATCAGTGAAACAATTAACCAACGATTTACTCATCTTTCTTATTTTCATCCACTGGCGTATTTAAAGAAGGGGCATTGGCCCGCGGCCCGGGCGAAAATTGAAGAGGGCGCAAAACAAGGCAAAAATGCAAGGAAGACATAGGGGATAAAAGGGGAAAATGGTATCATAATACGTTAAGGATCAAATTAACGCACTGTTACGCAGGGTGGATTACATTATTGGAGGGGGCGCAAAAAAACAACGCAAAAAATGCAAAAGAGAAATCAAATAGGGGAGAAAGGGATACAGGGTATCATAGGATTATGCACCGCTACGCAAGGTATTAATTTAAGGGGGCGTCAAACATAACGCAGAAATGCAAAAATAGAAAGAAAATATACATGAGCAAAGGGGTGAAACTTCATTAGGGGCCTACATTAAAGATTATGCACCGTTACGCAGGGTAGATTACATCAACTCCTTATATCATAAATAATTAATTGCGACTGATTAAAATCAATCACAACTCTCATAAGACGGGGTACAGAAAAGAAATTTTGAGGGTTTAAAATGCGAACTGTGTTAAGCTCGGTTGCTTCACCCCCTCGCACAGTTTTGTTTTTGCCCCAGGATCATGTAGTTTTGCATCGCCATAATAGGATAACAGTTTGTTTTCAAATAGCGTTTGTATAGAGGACTCCCTGCCTTCTGAGATAGATAAGATTCATCAGCCTCCCCGAATCAAGTATTGCATGCGGCCTGACATTTTGTTCCATCAGCCCAAACTTGGTACAGGTACAAATCGATTTTGACCAAACTTTTTAAAGACCCTAGTGCTCAGTCACTCGTGGCAGAAATATTATTAATAGGGTATCATTGCATTACTCTTCATGATGAAATACATTTCAAAGTCATATTGGTTATCACTTTTTAATTAGCAGGCTAAATTTTCCAGTCCTTCTCGTATTCTACACATATAATTTGTTTAATGTATATACATTCTCCCTGTGCCAAATTGTATTTATCATGGAATAGCTTAGGTTAACCAAAGGCTTCAAGGTTATTTGACTGCTTCATTGCAATATACCTGTGTTAAAAGTATTGTCACGAAGCTATAATCAGGAGCGAAGCCGAAAATAGGTAATTATGCACCATCAACTACTGTTTTAGGGCTTTTTGTGTGTTATGTTCTCTTTATCATGCTGACCAAGCATCCTTTATTTAAAAGAGAGAGAGAGAGAGAGAGGGGGGGGGGGGGGGAGGGAGGGAGAGATAGAGAGAAAAAACTAAAAGATAGATGAAGATGGACAAATTATAAAAACTTCCAAGCTCTTTTTTAAAATCTACTTTGACCACTTAGGAAATTCTAAGTTTTATGAAAGTGAAACATACTTCAAAGCCTGGCATAAACAAGTTTATATACAAGTCTGGTATTTTTGTTAAAGCATGTATATCCTCTAACTTTTAACATATTTACTCTAATAGTCTATCCAGATCCTGTAATTGGTTTTGTAATTGTGTATATAATAACAATAATTTCAAGAGGATAAAAACTCATCAAAACTAACACTAACAGTTGGTTAAAAGTAATCAACCTTTGGGTAACATCTTCAAAGCATCGAGTGAAATTAAAAGCTGTAACTTCGATTCATCTTGATTCAACATCTTTAGAGGGTTTTTAACTGTACTTCAAGTCATCTAATAAAAGGAATTGACATTTAAGAATTAGACACATTACAGTTTTTAAGTCATCTCGTTGAGATTCTTCGACAAACTTTCTGTAGTAATTCGTTGCCTTTGTGAAATTAAATATAATTTCTATTTATCATGCTTACCAAGCATCCTTTAATTTAAAAGAGAGAGAGAGAGAAAAAAAAAAGAGAAAGAAAGATAATTAAAGATGAAGAAATATTTATAATAAAAAACACTCTTTTTTATTTACTTTGAGCACTTATGAAATTTCCGGTTTTATGAAAGTGAAACATGCTTCAACGACTGGCATAAATAACTTTTATATACAAGTCTGGTCTTTACAAACCTTGCATGTGATTATCCTCTAACATATTTCCTCTTCCTGATCCCTTAATTGTTTTTTAATTGTGGATATAATACAATTAATATTAAGAGGATAACAAATAATCGAAACTAACATTAAAAGTTGTTTGAAGTCATCAAAACTTGGGTAACATCGTTGTCTTCAAAGCATTGATTGGAAAAGCTGTAACTTTGATTCATTTTGAGGTTTCTAACCACTTCGAGTCATCTAGTAAAAGGAATTGACTTTAGGAATAAGATCCATTACAGTTTTGAAGTCATCTCTTTGAGACTCTTCGACAAACTTTGCTTCAGAGGTTTTCAACTGTACTTCAAGTTGTAAAGTTGAAGGAATGGACTTTTAGGAGTCAGACTCCTTATAGATTTAAAATCATTTCTTTGAGATTCTTCGACAAACTGCGGTTAAAAGGTTTTCAACTGAACTTTGAGACAAGGAATGGGCATTTATAGAATATACATACTTTGTAGTTTTTAAGTCATCTCTGTGAGATTCTTCGATAAACTGTGCTTCAGAGGTTTTCAACTGTACTTCAAGTTGCATATAGTAGAAGCAATTGACATGAAGGAATCACATTAAGATTCTTTGACAAACTTTGCTCCATATGTTTTTCAACTGAACTTTAAGACATAATTATAGAGAAAAAATTGGACATTTAGGAATCAGATGCATGACAGTTTAGAATTCATCTCTCTACGAATCTTCCGAATAACTATGCTTCAGAGGTTTTTCAACTGTACTTCAAGTCATACAGTACAAGGAATGGGCGTTTAGGAATTAGATACTTTTTGAGATTCCTCCGGCCGTGAATTTTGCTCACTAGATTATACTAAACATTACACTTGATTATGTAGCTGAGGAATTACCCATGTGCCACGAACCACCCAAATTCATGATGTGAATCTTTAAGTGTTTTGCCTTCGTTAGCCATGATTTGTGTGGATTATGAACAGTACACAGTAAATGATCATGATCACCATAATTTGAATTGGCAAATGTCTGCAAATGTTTTATATACTCTAAAAATGACCACCCAAACTTGAATTGCAGCCACCGTCTGCACTCGTGAAACTCAAGTAATTAGCAAGCATTTTGTACATTATTGTTATCAGCCAGAATTGTGATTTTTATAAATGAGCACCAAAATGTTGAATTTTGCAACCTTTCGCAATCGTGATGCTCAATCGATTAGCTAGAATTTTGTTGTGTTGTGAATGCCACTGTAAATGAGCATCAACGGTTAAATATTGGCCACTGTCTGCGATTGTGAAACTCAAGTGACTATTTGCAAGAATTGTGTTGCATTTGTGAAGTACACTGTAAATAACCACCAAACCTTGAATATCGGCCACTGTCCAGTGTGATACTCAAATGATTTGCCAGGATTTTTGTTGATTTGGTGAAGTTTGTTATAAACAAGCACCAAAAGTTGAATTTTGGCCACTCTCTGCAATCGTGACGCTCAATCGATTAGCCAGGATTCTGATGATTTTGTGAAGTTTACTGTAAAATAAGCACCAAATCTTGATTGTTCTTGTCCAAGGGATCTGCTGAAGAGCCGAGGAATCATTTTTGCCTGTTGAGGATATCGTTCATTACATTCTGTCCTAGTGCAGACGGACAGTTACTTCTGTGGTACATTTACTAAAGATCTACACATTAAAGACTCTAACCCTTTCGGGACATTATGTACTAAGGACTTATCTGAGTACGTACTGTTCTTCATATTGGCTTCAATACTATTTTGTATTCATTGCTAAATTGTTTAAATACAATGTAATTTCTCTGAAAACATTATACATGGGTGAGAATGTTGATCAGAAGTTTGACAAATTGCCAATTTTTATTGAAAATCAATGATTTTGAATCTCTCACTGCGATACCAATTTAAGAATTTAAAAGCAGGTTCTCCGTTTTAAAATTCCTGACATCAAACACAATAGAGTCATGAAACAAACACCGATGCAATGTGTGTATCAATGTTTGCTATTTCTACGTATAGTCATCTGACAAATTTGTAAGGGCTCAGAAGAAAAAAAAATCATTGAGCCACACCACAATATATGGAATGATCGTTGCGAATTTGAGTTAATATCAAACTTCCTTTGCATACATATACTTCAAATATATGTGTGGGTGATTACGTCATCAACGGACAGAAAAAATACTACCTATAATTATATATAGACAAACCTTTCAAAAATTTGTAGAAAACAGTCCTACCGAAGCAATGGAATCGTCCCAGTAAGCTATGGCATTTTTGCAGCAATTGGGCATTCTGTTTGTTTGTGTTGGCAATGGTAAACACACCCTTTAAAGGCAAAGCTAGGAAGACGTAGCACTAATTAGCTTTTGCCATTCTGAAGCAAACTCCACAAACGCCGAACAGACGTTGCAGTTAGCTGTTGCCATTTGAATCAAACAGGACACTAGTCTTATATAGTTTCTGCAGAGTTGACACCCTACAGATTATAATCATGCTGAAGATAACGACTTCTCATACAGCCTCAAGGTTTTTATTTTGTCTGTGGGTGCTGTGTGCCATGTCCCTGCTCTCTGCAGGATCGCTTGTGAAGTTTGTTTCAGGAAATATGAGCCCTGAGTCAACCGGAGGCTGCCGGCTTTGGAACACCAGCCTCGGATCAAAAGCCACATGTACTCACCTAGATCTCAAGTCTGTTCCTCATGATCTTCCAAGCAACACAGTAATACTTGATCTCTCCTTCAACAAGATCACAACTCTGTTCAACAGTTCTTTTGCCTATCTTCCTGAAATCACTACCTTAGCGCTTGGAAGCAATGTCCTCTCTAAGCTAGAAAATGGTACCTTTAAGCCTCTGGCTCATCTCAGGGAATTAAGTCTACTCAACAACAGACTAGTTTCTCTTCCATCAGGTCTGTTTTGCACGAATCATTTCCTTTCCACACTCATTCTAAGTAAAAACAGATTGTCTTCTATTCCTAGTGATGCTCTGCCTTGGTCTAACAGTACCAAGAGACTTGACTTAAGTGCCAATAATATCTCCTTCATTGATTCACGTGACTTAAAACCTCTACAGAATTGTTCACTGGAGAGTCTGCGTTTAGACAGAAATGCCTTAAGTAGTCTTCCTCCTAACGTGTTCGCATATTTGAGCACAGTGAGGAGCTTGATTCTTTACAAAAATAATTTTACAAAATTTCACCCCTCCATGGTTTTGGGAGGTACTGTCATCACAGACCTTCATATTGACTCATGCAATATACATGAAATCATTCCATTGAACAAGTCACATGTTTCTCTAGGGGAATGGGGCAACATCTCTGAAATATTTCTTACAGCAAATATGATAAGAAACATCCCTGACTTTGCCTTTTGGGGTTTTAATCAGACAAAAATTATTACACTTCATAGAAGCCAGGTTGCTAGTTTATCAAATAGATCTTTTTGTGGGTTAGACCACTTAATTCAGTTGGATCTGTCTTACAATTGCCTCGCAACCATAAGCTTAGATATGTTCTCTTGTAATAAAATGTTACAGAAACTGAAGCTTAATGGGAATAAGATTGCGAGGCTTTCCATCGGCGCAGAATCAGGCCTATCCTTACTATATCAACTCGACTTGGCGCATAATAATATTAAGGACATCGAAAGCAGCGGAAAGAATGTAACATTTCCATCAGTAGAGTACATTGATCTGTCTTTTAACAAATTTACAGGGATCAGAAGGTTTTTGATGGATGGTTATACTAATCTGAAATTTCTGAACATGTCGAACAATGACATCTCCAATACATATTCTCAGAAGTCGTTCATAAGCTTGAGGCTTCTCCAAGAGCTGTATCTTACCAATGAGCATTCCCAAAACATCAATAAGGCTTTTCGCTACCTAGGGGCTCTACGCGTCTTGGATTTGTCATTTGCCCCATTGAAAATAACCTCCATAAGTCAATTCACAAATACCTCATCCCTCACCAGACTGATTATGCGTGAGAACAGTCTGAGGAGTACAGATGTGTACCACATCAAGACTGAAAGCTCTCTGTTTCTTGGCCTAGACTCTTTGGAAAGCCTGGATCTAAGACAAAATAAGCTTGACATGTTAGCACCAGGTACTTTCAACCCGCTGAAAAAACTCAGGATACTTTATCTGTCGCAGTCTTCTATAACAGTTCTGAGCCGGGGTGTTTTTGACAGCCTGACTGCCCTCACGACATTGGACCTTCGCAACAATGAGATCAAGATGATACCCGAATTGCTGCTTCAAACGCAACACCATCTTGCTGTTCTATTTTTAATCAACAATAAACTTGAAACCATTCCAAGGATACTATTCAATGAAACCACCTCTCTACACAGTTTGTTCATCCAGCAAAACAAAATTACTACCATAGAACCAAAGACAATGTTCCCAACAAAGACGACACTGAAACTATATGCTTCTGGAAACCCGTTTTCCTGTACGTGCCACTTGAGTTGGTTCGTGAAGTGGCTCCGTTCTGGCAATGTTGAACTCAGGAATCGAGAAAAGACTTTCTGCTCGTTAACGTCCATCAAAGAAGAGGTCAATTCACCTATACTTTCATTCAATCCTGACCAATACTGTGGCACTGACATTGTGATGATCACAGGTGTATCCTTGTCAGTTGTTCTGGTCGTGGCGATTTGCTTGGTGGCTTACAGGAAACGATGGTGGCTAAATTACAAACTCTTCCTCCTCAAGCTAGCTATTTTTGGCTACGAGGAAATCAACCAGGACTTGGATGCCCAGGACTATGAGTACCAGCTAAACATCATGTGCGATGAAGGTGACGAGGAATGGGTGGATCGGATCATGAGGCCAATGCTGCAGGAGAGGTTTCCACATTTGCAGAAAGTAATCTTCGGTGACAACGACCTCAACATCGGGATGTTCTACATCAATGCTCTCCACTACGCCACCGACAACAGTTTCAAGACTGTCTTGTTGATAAGTTACAACTCTGTAGATGATGCCTGGTTCTTGACCAAGCTACGCATAGCCCTAGAGCACCTCAACGACACCAGACTGGACAAGGTAATACTGATTTTCATTGAGGACATCCAGGATGAGGACCTCCCGTACCTGGTTCGGTTATTCCTGAGTAAGAACAAACCTTATATGTTGTGGACGGACGATGAAGATGGCCAGGAACTCTTCTGGGCCCAGTTTGAGAAAAGCATGAGAGCTAATAAGGCCCTTAACAGTGTTATTCCCATTTGACAAGAATATTTCCACGACTAGTGAAGAAAATTAGGAATATCTGACTATTCCGACTTTCTTTAAGACGCAATGGTACCATATACAAATCGTTCACACTTATCACTTTTTGATAGAGTTATTCCTATTTATCTCAAAAGCACGAAGCATTAAAAACAATATTTAAACAAAGTATTGGAGAAAAAAATCATAAACATACTGTCTACTGGCCAATGATATATATTTTTTTAAATCAAGATTTCTTTGCACGCGATCAATTATAATATTCTTGACTGTGAGAAAGAAAAAAAGGATCATAACTATTGAAACATATACATTTTGCAGTTTGATAATAATGTATGCATGTATAAAGAGTATGCAATTGTTTAAAATCTATATTCTAGACTGCACGCTTATATTTATGTTCATATAATTTTATTTTGTCCGCTCTTACAACAATCCTTGATAATTTTTGCTTAATTGATCATTCTAGAGCCATAGCTACCAAAGGAATGGCACACATTATGTTGATCTACAATACCAAAATAATCAATGTCTTATCTTTATATCATTTAATCTCCAAAACTTACATATCTGTATGTCCAGTTACCGTTCTAACTATTCAATTCCGAGTCATGATTTTGAAATTTGTGTTATTCGGCATGAGTTTGAAATTTATTAAATCTAATCATAATTGAGCCTATGTCTGTATCAGTTTTTCCCTCCGCACATTATGTAATAGCATATATGATGTAGTTATGAGGAACTTGACCTTTATTAATCACATTTCATGTTGTTTTCTCAATTTGATAGTTGTATTTTTTCTTTTTATGATTTTTAATGTGTGTTTTTATGTTACCTATATATTTTCTTCCTTTTTCTTATGTATACAGTCAAACCTGCTTTAGTGACCACCTGTCTACAAAGACCACCTGTCTACAAAGACCACCTGTCTACAAAGGCCACATTTGTTGTTTCCCTTGAAAATGGTTTCTCATTGAATCATGTACTAAAGGAACCTGTCTACAAAGGCCATTTTTTGTGTTTCCCTTGGGTGGTCGCTATAGACAGGTTTGACTGTATCCATTTGTCTTGAATTATTGTATATGCGATGTATATTTTTACCTTTGTATATGTATGTTTTGAATTCATGTTTTAATGTACGTGAATCCAGGGCTCTCTGGGGGAGCAGGTCCAGAAATGGACTTGAAATGAGACCACCCTGTTAAAATAAACCTATAATGACAATGATAACTTATAATTAATTTATAAACCTCTGTGCTGGATTATTGATGTTCATTCTGCATATTTTGAAGGGTGAATTTTTATACAATAACGATTAATTGAAAAAAGGGTCAACTAATCCATACAAAGTAAGCTTCTTGGTCTTGTACCAGGAGAGGAGTTCTTAAAGAATAATTTTGTGTTAATATACGTGTACTTTTGCATTAAAAACGTATAGTAGTGGGGTTTCATGGGGAATTCAATACCATCCTGGTGTTTATCCAAAAGAGTTGACTTCACTCTTACGACATACATGTCTTAGTTAATGTACTGTGCCCTAGCCTACCATTCTCGTTCTCATCATTTGTATCAAATTTCCCTCACCCTCGGGGTATATAGGCAAGCTGGATTATTTTCTGGTGGGACATTAATTGGTAATCCAACAAAATCTAGTCTCAGCGAATTGTGTTACAATACGCATTGACACTGACTACTATATGTGGCTTTAAAACGATTCTATTATTTGGTCTGTACAAGGTAAAATTATGTTGAAGGATTAGAAATTGACTAATTTATATTTCCTTTGTATATATATACATTGTAGAACATAGTAATTTAAAGAAAGATTGCTGTAAATGGTAATTAATTTCAACATTAATAAATATAATGTAAACTCTATTCTTTAATATGTTTCTTTTGAAACGAAGCTCAGAAAAAGCATGTTATAAGTAAAAAGAAATGTAAAATGCATTTTAAAGAAATTTCCTTGTATATTTATGCTAAACGTACACTTTATATATCTTAACGGCACAACACGTTGTGACATCATTCAAAATGATACATTGCCTTTCAGATACCTGTTCATCAAGAAACAAATGTGACGTAACAAAAAATTGGCGCCTATACAACATAAAGTCAAAGATCTGCAATAATGTATCATTAAGAACATCACATTAAGTTAAACGTGTATTTAAAATGAAATTATTTTCTTTTATTTGTCTGCATAGGTATAAAGTGTTAATATGCTCCAATATCATTTTTCAAATGTACTGATGTATTACAACATACAATTAACAAATAAATTAGTCTTACCACTGACTTGTAAATATGATATTTGTGTGTTTTTCATAACTTATTAAGGAAAGGTGGATTGTTGATTAAGGGCATTTATTGAATACTTGATACGTCACATTATCAAGAAACGTAAATCGGGACAAATCTATTTTCACATACAGTAGTTACAAAATCACAGAATATTTGTGTAGTTAATTGTACATGCATAACATTACTATAATCAGAAATATATTGCAAGATGATTAAAAGCCTTTTAACCCTTACTGTACTGGGGGGGGGGGGCCTGGGAGGCCCCCCCCTCGACATTTTCGGAAATTGCGCCGCAACCGCTTGGAATTTTGAATTGTCGTTTCATGACTTTTTTCCCTCAAGTCTTACGCACATTTTGATACCATTTTCGTAAAAATCGGATACACCTGTAAGGCGTTACATAACAATTAGTATGCGCATGTCATAAAAAAAAAAAAAAAAAAATGAAAATCGCATCAAAATTTGCATAAATTATCATTATTAATTACATTAAAATAACTTTTTTTGTGTTAAAAAAAAGAAGTTTCATATGAATAATGAGTTTCATTAACATTCAAAAATTGGAGTTTGACACGTTTTCGGTAAAATGCATAAAATTAGCGCATTTTGCATAATTAATTAGGCTAACGACAAAAATGTGCATATTCGGAAAAAACTAATTATACCATCTTGTTCCTTACGTAAATATCTACAAACATGCAAATTTTCGTGTTCATCGGACAATCGACGGCCGAGATCATAGGGGGGGGGGGGCCTCCCAGGCCCCCCCCCCCCCCCAGTCAGTGGGTGCTCAAAATAGCCCAGTACAGTAAGGGTTAAAGATATTTTCTGTAAATAAAGCAAGTATTTGAATAGCATATGCCTACACTTATCTTGTTATTGTAGTTCTATCAGAGAGCCCGGAGGGAAGAGTCTAACTGAAGTTGTCTCTGTCTGCCATTTTGTACTGGCATTTTGCGGAAAGCTAAACTTGGCCATTCTGAAATATTCATTTTGAAAAAGATGCTTCTCCTATTTTAATCTACATTGCATGGAGCAATTAAAAAATGAGGATCTTCAAACAGAATGAGTCCTAACATATTAGATCAGGCTGCATTATAAAAAGATCTGACATTTTGTTCTGACATTTTGAAAGCTATATACTATACGCTGCTTTCTCTGGTATAGCTTGTTTTGCATACAGTATAAATGAATTTGAGAAGCAGCATAAATAAAAGGCCCTTACCCTAAATGCTATTAGGGACTTTTAGATTTGCCGAACGACAACGTGGATTGCTACGATCGACGTCCTTTTAATGCACTGCCTTGAATGGACGTCACACGTATCAGTCCACGCAAATCTAAAAGTCCCTATTCATTAGGCAGGGACAGATATCCTCTCATCTCATTGGCAGCCGCCAGATAATTAACATAGTACAGCTTATAGGAGCCTGCGGTACAGTTATATTTAGGTTCTAATACAAGTAGGCTACCCTGGGCTATTCACCCCCGGCCAACTACTAGCGGGACAGTTACCCCAAGCACACCCCCCCCCCCCCCGGGAAAATAAGTCTTTTCTTCTCGGAATCTTTATTGATCCATACAGATTGGTCAATGCAGTTTGATCAATAAAGTCCAGAGAAGATCACAAACTTCATCTGTCAAGAGTAAGTCACATTGTCACAATCATTTCATGGAAAGATGTATGAAATATTTCTTCCAATTGTTTTGGCAACAGTGTATACATATAAATATTTAAGACACCAATTTAAAACCCAGGGCAGCGTTTCATGAAACCGCCATAAGTTCACCGACACCCCATTGCTCAATGGGATGTCGATGAACTTTTACTTTTACCATCGGGTGTATTCTCGTAAGGGTATTTGTTAACTTGGAAGAGGTATACTTACAACAACAACAAGTTACCCCTGCCCCCTTATTTTCTGTAAATATTTTCTGTAAATAAAGCAAAAGTATTTGAATACCAGTATGCCTACACTTATCTCGTATTGTAGTTCTATCAGGGAACACGGAGTGAAGAGCCTATCAAAAGTTGTCTCTGTCTCTATCTTTGCTATTTTGCGGAAATCCATTCTGAAATATTCATTTTGAAAAAGATGCTTCCCCTATTTTAAACTACCTTGCATATAGAGCAATTAAAACGTGAGGATCTTCAAACAGAATGAGTCCTAACATTAGATCATGTAGACTGATATATACAAAGATCTGACATTTTTTACTGACATTTTGAAAGCTAAACACTCATCATATTGTACGCTGCTTTTTCTGGTATAGCCTGTTTTGTATACATAATAAATGAACTTGAGAAGCAGCATAAATAATATTTGGCCCTGACCTTAAATGCTATTCATTAGGCAGGGACGGCTATCGTCTCATCTCATTATCTGGGGGAGGGAGGAGGGGGGTAGTGAGCACTATTTTTTTCGGCCGGGGGGGGGGGGGGGTATACGTGCCCCCTGTGTCCCCCTAGATCCGCCCCTGGAAATATTTATTCCAACTTTTTTTGGCAACACAAGAGTATGTATATATTCAAAATAATAATAATAATATAATAATAAATTATGTTTCTATAGCACATTATACAAGGTATGTCTATATGCGCTTTACATTGTATTACAAGCTTAATTAATTACATGTATCTACTATTGAACTATCCTCAAACGAAACATTCTGACAAGATCTTAACTAAAATAGTACAACAGTAACTAGATGGATAAACATTATAATTCATTCTTAAATAATGATACAACAATTATGTTGCAAGAGTTTATTCATATATTACAAGTTGTAGACATTTACAATTTCAATTGAAATTGTAGATAACAAAGCATGAATATAATTAATTCTTAAAAAGGTAGGTCTTAAGTGCAGTCTTGAAGGTGTGGATGGAAGGTGCAGTTCTAATGGCGAGCGGGAGAGAGTTCCAGAGGGTGGGAGCATTGAAGGTGAAGGAGCTACGGCCGTAGTACTGGGTTTTAAAACGAGGAACCTGGAGAAGATGTTTGTTCTGGGATCTGAGAGCACGCGGGAGGGTGTGTATAGATGTGAATGAAAATACCGATTTAAAATCCAGGGCTGCGTTTCACGAAACCTCTATTACAAGTTCACTTGACATCCCGTTGAAAACAAAATGTTTAAGACGCGTTTTAATGGGATGTCCAGGGGCGGCGATCCCGGGGGGGGGGGGGACGGGGGGACACGTCCCCCCTCAAAATTTGAAAAAGTATATAGCAAATACTAACTAAAGACTGCAACACACTTTTAGGCTCTGGAGGGCCTATAAGAGTGCAGCGTTTAGACAAATAAAAATGCAAAAATATTCTCATTCGGTAGCTACGCTACCTCGCATAATATCCTTCAAAAAGTAAATACCGGAAAAAGTGAAGTGTGAA